ATACTCTGAATTATAATTCCCGTAGATGGTCGATAGCCTCACTCACTTGTTCAAAATCGCGCGGATAACTGTACTGATAGATGGACTTTCTCACCTCGACAGAAACTGCCAAAACAGTGTGGCCGATGCCAATGAGTTGAGAAACACCCCACAAAAATACTCTCACAGCATCGGACACATCCAGAGGTGCCTTGGTCAAAGTGACAACAACAACAACAACAGCAACAGCAACAATAATAACAATCTACACTCGGACCAAAATTAGAAAACATACACGGATATGAAGGAGTCTATCAGGAAAACTGGATCTTCACTGGTAAGCATACACCCAGGATTAACACAGGTCATCTGACCTACTATTATTCTTATTACGGACGACTATACTGCATCCTCAAGGTCGACCGAATTCCCGTCTACTTGATGTTAAATTTAGTTCTCGTGAAAATGTCAGTCATATTCCAACCAGTCCGAAAGCAGTGCATGAACAAACCTGATCATCCTTATTATCCTAAGATGTTTGTACAATGTCCACCTCTACTCTGGCCATTTGCTTAATCCAAACTCACGTTTTTCATTCTTATTCCAGAATGAGATTATGCTCACCAAATCAGCCTTCATGACTAACGTAAATGGCTGACTGACTAACGTTTTCCGTCATTTTACTCCTTACTTTCATCATCGTTCTCACAAATAACATTGATTTCGAACATACATTCTTGATTGATTTACAGTCACGTGACTCGATTGACTTTTTCTATTCAAATTTGAATGGAAATAGTCTAAATATATGTCAAGTCTATATAATATCAGTCTAGAGCGATGATAATCAGTTTGTAAAAACGCATTTGCTGAGCGGTCTCATCATATAACGCTCGCAAATAAGTGATTATATCTATGGACAGTCATAGGGATTGTGGACAAAACTGTCTTAATGATTGTTATTATCATTATTACTACTGCAACTACTACTACTACTGCTACCAATACTACAAATGTGATTACTACTACTATTACTACAATTATCACTATTACTGTTACTACAACTGTTGTAATTATTATTATTATCACTATTCTACAAAACAACCTACTGATTATGACGAACGAATAAAAGAAGGAAACACGGTTTTACACGGAAGATGCACACCATCAGGCAGAAAAATGCCAAACAATGATTTAAAGCTATGCAAAACCCGGACATGTTTAAAACGTCCAGGCCAAGCAATCAAAAAGCCTGGACGTCATGTCCATTTTGTAATATAAAAAATGAAAATAAATTTTCTAACTATTCACATTTGTGTTTTTGATTGTTTCACTGGTCAATAGTGTTATGCGATTGTACCGAATGAATGTGGACGTGAATAGGAATTCCTTCTAAATACGCTGCTTTTAAGCGATCGATGCTGATGCTATCGTTTGTTCGTTCTTATCGACTATATAATATTAATAATTGATTCTCATATAAGAGTTCGTTACATGAGGCGTGTCAGTTTACAGGCAAGATCAAATTGATACAAATGATACAATATCCATTGTAGTAAATTACATAGCTGGGTTGGTAATTTATGAGATCTGAATGTAGATGGTTTTAAGCAGTTCTACAGTTAGCGCGCTTCATGAAAGTTGCGTTGCAAATGTGCGACTGGTGGTCAAGGATAGGTCCATTGAAGGTATGAGCTTCTAGAAATCGCAACCTTATGTCCTTTTAGAATATCCAAGGCTTTAAGGATGGTGCAGGATGAAGTCACCCGTTCCATATCTCAAGGGGGCTGAAAGAGGGAGCAAGTAAAAGAAAACACGAGGGGCAGAGTAGCCAACATTCATGAAGGAATGTTCAAGGTATGATTACTCAGTCTAATTTTCTTTTATTAAGGTATTTGTTAAGAAATCGCATTTTAATAGGTTAAAGAAAATAAGTGATAACAAGGTGTGAGTGGACATACAACTGACAAATGGAGGCGATTCGTAAAGGAGCTGAAAGTATGGGATTATTTGTGATTATAAAATAAAATCTAGTGCTAGAAACAGTATTGTGATATACAATTGGCTATCTTCCTTTTATTATCGAAGCTATTAGAGCCCCTTTCGTTTTTTTGTATTATTGTTTTTTTCAGGTATTATAGGGTCTTGAGTAGGCTTCGTATATTAGCGAATTGTCTAGTTTGCTTGTAATAGGATTTCTGGGTAGGAAGTGAAACCAATTCAACGTTCGTAACACGATTTAAAGAGGTATTTTGCGTGATAAATCAGCATCAATACCATAAGTTCGTGACACCCCACTAAAACATAAGGAGCCGTAATTAAACAAAATGTTCTGCCCTACAGACATGGGTGGATTGAAGTTATCTCCCCACCTTCATGTTTGCTGGTCAGTAACGCCACCCTCCCTCCTTTTGTGATGTTAGGCTCTCTTACGTTTGTGGTAAGTATGAATACTGCTTTAATCAAAGCCCATAGTTGGAATACACTGTCTCTACTAGGCCTATGTTACAAGCAAATCAGATGGTTGAAAAGTCTGTTTTATGGGTTAGATGTCCATATAGTATATCACAGTGCTATGAAAATAACTAATGGTTTAAAGAAGTAAGGACTAATAGCAAATCAAAAGATATGAGAGGGTAGAAAATTGTAGAAAAAAAAGATTTCAGAGTGGGACAAATAAAACATTGAGAAACTCACAAGACTTTGTGGCCAAATTTTGAGCTTTGTATTATCGGCCTTAGTAGATCAGCATCCATAAGATTGAGCTATCTGTCTACTTGCAGTAGGAAAAAAAGGCATGACTTTTAGTAAGAATGATGTACATTTAACCTTTAGAGATTTGGGAACTGAAAGCTAGAGTTAGGAGCATAAGGCCATGATTAATAAACAATGAATAATAGGAAAGGATAAGCCATTTATTCTGTGATTTGGTTATATTCGTATTAGTAACAGTCGAACTTGTTATAATCTTGTTCTTTCTAGATACTAGGCGGTCCGTAATAAAGTGCCACATTGGTGGGCGGGAGTTCAAGGAAACGTTGAAGCTCTTTGGAGTCTAGAAATAGGGTTATTAGCTTTTTGAATCTGGTAAACGTATCACAGTTACGGATAGACATTGACAGCCTGTTCCACAATAAACTATACCGTACTGTAAAAAACTTACAACGCATTTGTTTTTGGTGTTTTACGGTAAGTAGTGTATATGCGTTGTTTCTAAGTCTATAGGCTGGGTCGTGGGTGATAGTCGGGCAGGAGGTCAGAAAGGAGAGCCCATATATCCGAATCAATTCGATTGCGGCCTCTCGAGTCAGCAGTTCCCTTTGTCATCTGAAGACGAACTGCAAATGCTGGACACTGGTTTGCAGCAGAAAGAAACCAGGGACAGATTTGTAAGTCATTAACAAGAATTTAATAATTTGTTACTATTACAGATGGCAATGGTTACTAGGTTATCAAGTGACGATCCGAAAACATCGATGCGGTTTGTTCTGTCGCATCTCTTGACACCTGAGGTTGCCAGTAAATTCACGTTACTTGGCACCTCTTCAAAACGAGCACTTCAGACATGCAAGTTTTACGGCTGCATACGAAGTAACTAATTTTTAGTATTTAAACTTCAGGTGCGTTAACAAATCGCTTTATGTCATCCTCTGTCAACGAAAAAGACCTTGCGAAGCTGTACGACATAGCCACGCAAGGTTATTTTCACGATGTCAGAGACAAAGTGATAAAGCGTAATAGAAGAAAACGAGATCAGGTATGTATTAATTATAAGTGATAACTTTCCTTACGGCTCTATAGTTACAGTCATCAGTATTGACGGACATAACCCTAAGTTTAGGTTATAGTATTCGGCTGTGCCAAGACATGTCATTCATAGATTGTTGTGACTTTTTCTGTTTTTTAAACTTAATAATTCACAGGACAACAACTTCAATTCTCAATAGGCGAACGGATGTGGCTGAAGGAAACAATTCATGCAGTTTTTTATGTTCTACCTACATTTTAATAAACGTTATTTTGTCAAACAGCTTTCTTTATTACTTACTTGTGAAACTATAGAAGTGTTGAGAATGTTTGTGCCAGTTAACTTTAGATTAGATGCAAATGCCTTATGAATAATACATCACCTGTTTCATCTTTTGTAGATCTTTTCAAATAACACTGGTTTGGCAATTACAATGGATATACAAAACGATTGATGCTAAAGCTTCTGCTCTAATGTTGTACAATAATACGATTTTCCTCTTAAATAAAATGTTTTTAAAGTACACCGGTTTTCCAGTGCATTGCAGTTTTATTTCGGTATGTTGTTGAAAATGAAGGCGAACATAGGAGACCTTTGGGGTTATGTAAATGAATCGAAAATAGGTAGTTCTGTATGTATTTAGGCGAAAAGTAGACAATTCAGCGGAAATTTAGGCGGAAAGTCTGTCATTTGGCGGATATTTAGGCGAAAAGTCCGTAATCTGGCTGATATTTAGGCGAAAATTCGACAATTCTGCGGATATTTAGGCGAAAAGTGAGTAATTTATCGACAAAACGGCGAAAAAGGGGAAATCCGCATTATTTCCCCCGGACAGGCGAAAAAGGTGACATTCTGATGCGTTTTCCCCCTTCGCTACCAAAGCATTTACACCTTTATTTCCCCTTTCTTCTCCTTTATTTCCCCCCCAAGCAATATTGCTTGGGGCTGATTGTACCTTTTTGTATCCCGTACAGCGAAGGGTTGTAAACTTTTCATAGACGCTCCTGAATAGAATGTGCGCACAATAGACATGATGATGTGCTAAAACGAACAAGAAAACAGACAACTTGATGAAATATCTAGATCGGAGGGACAGGTAGCCCAGATATTCAAGCAGGCCGCCACTGTTATTTTGTTACCATTTACATTCATAGTTGAAATTTTATGCCGACAATAATCTCTTACAAGTTTTCAATTCACTTTTGTCTAGAATTATGATTTGATCCCACGGCGAGACCATAATTTATGGACGAACCAATCAGGTATAAGATAACTAGCCACGAATTTTGGCGCAAAATTCATCCATGTATTTGGCTGTATTATATAGGTCTATGTATGTTAGTTAATGGTTATGATGTGTTTCTGTGGCGAATTAGTCTCTGTTCAAAAGCATTTACTGCTTGAATTGATGGCGCGTATTCGGGCAGGGCACTACAATATTAACCATTCGATGAGAACAGAATCCGTACCTACATTCATCTAGTGGTTGACACTAAACTTATATGTATTGGCCTTGGATTTGATTTGTTTCTGTTGAAGCAAATAATGGGATGTACCAAAACCCAGGTTATTATTCAAGATACTAAATGGGACCACCTGGGTTTTTACGGCAGGATAGAAATAGTAGCTTTAGTCGTTTCAATCTCATCATGACTAGTCGAGGTTTCGAAATCCCTTAAGGGATGATACATTTCAGTCCTCAACCGTCTTAGAAATCATAGGCCGCGAGTATCCTCAGGTTCTTTTGTTTTAGAAACTTCGACAGTGAAGTCGTATCAACCGTGTGGTGGTGAATATTATTGTGAATGGTGTGCATTAGTGCACTTTTACTGAGTTTTGCTTTTGAACACCAGTATTTTGACAATCTTGCCGATTTACTTAGATGTGTCTGCAGTTCTAGCCTACCAATGTTACTATGTTCGACCATACTGCGTCTTCGAACCCGAAGTTTTTAATCCAAGCTTATAATATGCTTGCTATTCTGAAGTTAGAAGGCTTCATCTTAAAACCAGACTGGGACATGTGGAAGGTATCTTATTGTTTGCTATGCAGTGTGGGAACATTTTTTGGGACAAAAAGCATCCTCTCCAATAGAATGTTAGAATCTATTTTTTGGAGTACAGTAGGCTTTTGGCTGCGCCAAACATCCACTGATTTTGATTTATGGACATATATCAAATAAATTATTGCTCTACTTCGTGTGTTGTTCAAGAAATCCATCTCAGTTTCCTTTTTCCAAAATAGTTTACGTCATGGTTTTATCCGAGGGCATATATGTAATTTCTGGGCTGCATTAGAGATCAAGTATGTGGTTTTGCGTAAAACAAATACAGGCTCATTCAGTGGCCTTCAGTACGCATTTCTAGGTTTTACAAACCAAAGCATATTTTCAGTTCAATGTATTTGTGTCATATCCTAACGATAAAAATGAATGAGTCATCGAAAGGCAATTTGAAGCATTCTTAAGTATTGTTGACTAATTGCTCCAAACGCTTAGATTATCCATGGGTAATTTTCTTGATAATTTTTCGTGGTTAAGTTGTTTCATTCACCCTTGTGAAACCTGAACTTTAAACTCTCATTGTGGCAAGAAAACTGGTGTTTAAAGGGTTTCATTTCAATATGGAGCAATTTAGTCACAAAGTGAAATTACATCGCGATCTTCATGAGTAGCTATTGCTAAAAGGATAGTGTAAATCAAAAGTCTTAGACTCGAATAGCTGTCTGAATGTGTCTAATTTTCCAACTACACCAACCTTAGAGTCCAGAATATTTACTTTGGTTGTGTAAATCATTACTTTGTTCACTCTGTACGGTTGTTTCCTAACTTTAAAATACGCTTTACTAATTGATCTGTTGGTGTATTGTACGCTCATTTTTTATTGTTCAATCTCCCACTCTATATAGTTTGGGACCATACACTCTTGTCTATCTTTAACTTGACAACTGTCATTTCTGTTTTATAATCACTACCGAATATTCAAGTTGTTCTTATTTTATTGACATTACAGCTATTCGACAAGAAAAGATACAATATTGTGGTTCATTTTACCATGACGTTTGTCAATCTGCTGTTGAAGAATACAGGCAGGGTTAATTTCGTTCGATTTTCTCACATAAGTCGCTCAGTAATTATTCTTTCATACTTTTAATCCATTTTACTCATCATGAAGGTAACACTTAGTAAATTTGAAGACAAAACCCTAGATTATGATAAATTGGAACACAATCTAAATATAGTGAAAGATCGGTAATGAGTGATACGATTTCTGATGTTATTTATAGACTTGGACATCCGTTAACACTAGCCGAGAAAGTGTTGTATTCTCATCTTGACAACCCAAAAACTGCAGTAATCACTTTTTTCCAAAAAGATTTCTCTAAATTACTTTTAGAATATTGAAAGAGGTAAAAGCTATCTCATGCTTAGGCCCGATCGTGTTGCAATGCAAGATGCTACAGCACAGATGGCTCTATTACAGTTTATTAGCAGTGGTCTTCCACGTGTCGCTGTACCTTCAACTGTCCACTGTGATCATCTTATTGAGGCTAAAGATGGTGCAGGAACAGATCTTAATCGTGCGAATGATACCAACAAGGAGGTTTACGAATTTCTTGCATCTGCTTCGGCTAAATATGGGATTGGATTTTGGAAGCCTGGATCAGGAATAATTCACCAGGTAATTGTTATTTGATGTCTTTCTCCAAATTATTATTCTCCTGTATTGTTCATTTGTCGAATAAACTAAGTATTGTGTGATAAAATCGATCGGCAGTTACAGGATGTATGGAAAAACACTGAATGCTTCATAATTAATCCATCCCGTTTACAAAATTCAACATTAAAATGTTCAGTATATTTGATTATCATTCTCAAAGGCTTTCAAAAGTTACATCTTATCCAAGAATGAGTGATATATACAGATGGAAATTATTGCTCAATAAGTCTTTGCACTTGGAAGTTTTAGATTTGGGTTAACAGATACTGTAGTCAAGTTCAGAAATCTCTCCATTCACACTAATTAATGCATTCACCTCAATATTTTAAACTCAATATTCAAATAATCTGAACTTTTTTCTCCAATTAAGGTTTATTCTCAATAATGTTGAAAGGCAGTTTTTTCTAAGGATGATATTATTTCACTTGTATAGTTTACTGAATATGTCGAGGTGATTATCAGTCATTTGTAAAATGTTCATAATAGGTTTGAATCAAAGTGCATGTAGGTGTTCTGCAGATAAGATTTCCACTTAGAATCTTTCAACATAAACTGAATTCAATCGTCTGTTTCTTGTGTTGATTCGTTCATACTCGCAAAATCAATCATATAGATTATGTTTTGTAAATATACTGAAATAAAATAGCGTTAACCATCAAACTACAGACTTCGAATCCAACATAAATCCAGTCTTACATAAAACCTGTTAACCTTCGATTCGATCCCATGAAGATTATTACAATTCATACTGTTAAACTCCAGTTTAATTTATGGTGGTTTGCTTCACCCCATTGTTGGTATTTTGGTCGACATTTAATCAGTCTTGGTTGCCACAAGTGAATGGCTAGGTGAATAACATGTCGGCATTTAAAGCGAACGGTATTGGGTTTGAGTTCTAGAGAGGAAATCAACTCTGTCTTTTCAGGTACAGTCAGTCAGTCAGCTACAACGTAGGACCAGGCACATATATGCATCGGTCCAGGTTGCCATACCGCATCAGCACAACAAGATGAACACCGGATTCATAGCAGTGGTTAGGTCAAAGGTGGTAATAATAGAGGAAGATTGCATATAGAGATATATTACAAGAAGAAAGAATTGGTTCGTAGAAAGAAAGATATGAAGTGATTTTAATCTCTTAGTTTAAGGGAAGACAGGGAGTGTATACACCGACGCCATTGTGATCGATTCTGAGCCATGTCACCAAGAGTCTCCAACCATTGGTTACGAAAGTCACGCGGACCCCAACCAAGTAGTCTGCATCTACCAACATGGCTCAGACTAGAAGTTAGTGACTTCAAGCACTGATGCCACGTTTTGGTTTGGCCGCCCCTAACTTTCTTCCAACCATCTCCAATACCGGATAGCATTGCACGTCGTGGTAATCGGTGTTCAGGCATACGTAACACGTGGCCCAACCATCTCAGTCGATGAAGATTCATAACCTCATCAACTGATTTACCATCATTCCCTAATACCCTGCGTCTAACCTCACTATTACTTACCCGGTGATCCCAGCAGACGCCAGCAATATTTCTAAGGCATCTGTGGTCAAATACTAGTAGCTTACGAGTGTCTTCTACTCTTAATGGCCATGTTTCGCTGCCGTAAAGTAAAACAGAACGGACTGCCGCGCAGTATACTCGTCCTTTTATTGATAGACGGATATCTCGCCTTCGCCAAAGGTGACGTAAGTTGGCAAAAGCCAAACGAGCTTTTCGAATCCGTGCTGAGATTTCGTCAGACACCAACCCATTAGGGCTGATCAGACTTCCAAGATAAGTGAAGTTGTCAACGCGTTCGACTACTTCACTCCCTATCCTTAGTTCAGGTGTTGACGCAGACCAGTCCTGAAGCAACAACTTGCATTTAGAGGGAGAGAAGCGCATTCCAAACATTCTGGCATTGTTGCTTAGTGCTACCAAAGACTCTGCATTTTGTCAGCGTCTTCACCAAACAGGACTATGTCATCTGCGTATTCTAAGTCGATAAGTGGACCTCCTGGATGGAGATCAATACCCGAGAATTCAGTCGACGAGAAAGTTATTTCCATCAGTAGATCTATGATGAAGTTAAACAAAAATGGGGAAAGTGGACAGCCTTGACGGACACCACTTGAGGTTGCAAAAGTAGATGACAGTTCGCCATAAGCTCTGACTCGACTAGTAGTGTTCGAGTAAAGAGCCTTTACAAGGTTTATGTACTTCTGGGTACGCCTTTCAATGACAGACACTGCCACAGAATCTCGCGGTCTACCGAGTCAAATGCTGCTTTTAAGTCGAGAAAGACCACCATTGTCGGACGCCGATAAGTATGCCTGTGTTCTAGAATCTGACGAATGGTGAATATGTGGTCGATGCAGCCACGACCAGGTCTGAAGCCAGCTTGGTTCTCTCGTGTTTGCAGTTCACGAGTCTTAGTTAGGCGTCTGATAATTATCGAGGCTAGTATTTTAGATATTATATTAGTTAAACTAATCCCTCTGTGGTTGTCACAGGATGATTTTGACCCTTTCTTATATATTGGGACGATAAGTGATTGTGACCAGTCAGATGGGATAACGTCTAACTCCCAGATTTTAGCTAAAATATTAGTCAACCTAATCGCTAAAATTGGACCACCATCCTTAAAGACTTCTGGAGCCAATCCATCTGGACCAGCTGCCCTTCCTCGTTTCAGATTAACTATAGCCTTTTGAACTTCAGCAAGAGTTGGGGGACCTACTTCAATGTTCCATTCACACTGTCTGGGAATGGAGGGTAGTTGTAGAGTAGCTGAAGGCCAGCTGAACTGTTCTCTGAAATGTTCCGCCCATCGTTCTAAACGTCTGGACTGGGAGCAGATGAGAGTATCGTCTTTTTCCGAAATAATCTCACTTACACTTGACTTATTAATTCCAGTTTCTTTTATTAGTCTGTAAAGCTGTCTTGTGTTCCCTATAGTCGCCGCCTTTTCCATCTCTTTTGCTTTCGTTGCCCACCACTGCTCACGGTCGTTTCTTAGACTTTTTCTTAACCTAGATCTGATTTGTTGTCGCTCTTCATCATGTTCGGAACCTGATGGGACGAGTTTGCGAGAATCCATCAGTGTGATAGACTTTGAAGAAATCCACTGGTTCTTTGTAACTCTGTGGTTTAAGTCGCTAATAGATGTCACTGCTGTTTCCACAGCTGCTTGTATGTCTTTCCAAGCAACATCTGGGTCAGCCTCGTCTTCAGAACTACCTAAGTGTGACCTCAGTTGTTCCTGGAACCTACTTTTGGTTTTCTCGTTACTCAACTCAGTTCTAATGGGTCTTTTTAATGTGGCTTTTTTGCGTCCAGTGAGGCGCAAGCAGATGCGTGCCCGTATTAGGGCATGGTCGGAGTCCAAGCAGGTACTCCAGAATGAGCGACAATCTTCTACCGACCCTCTCCAACGATGACTGATGGCAATATGGTCTATTTGAGTCCATCGTTGGTTTGGTGTAGGGGGTCGCCATGTTAGACGATGTCTCTCCTTATGCTTAAAATTTGTGTTTGCTAAAAATAAACGATTGTCTGAGCACAGTTGCAGCAGACGATCACCATTATCTGTTCGCTGTGCCGGAATACTAAAATATCCACCTAAATGCCTTTCTGTTTGGTTTAAACTACCTATCTGAGCATTAAAGTCACCTGCTACGAGTACTATGTCTGAGCGTTTAGCTTTCTGAAGAAGTTCAGAAGCTTTCTGTAAAATTCATCTTTCACTTCATCTGAGCTGCAGTCAGTGGGAGCGTAGGCAGAAACGACAAAAAGGCAACGACGTGTGTCCCTATCCTTCCGAGTTCTTACGGAGCCGTTTAGCCGAACAGCACATAGACGACTGTTGACGGGGATCCACTCTAGCAGTGCTTGTTCCGCCCTCATGCTTAGTGCTATGCCTACACCTGCCAGTCCACGAGAACTGGCCATCGGGTCACCAGATACACGGAGGGTGTATCTCGTTGGCTCTCCGTTTTGCCGAGGTGAGGTCAAGTGAATGACCACACTGGAATCCTGTATGCGTGTTTCGGAGACACAGCATACATCAATGGAAAGAGACTCTAGGGTTTTAGCCAAGGAAGCCTGCTGACCGATTTGACATAGGGTGCGTACGTTGAAGGCTCCAATGTGTAGTTTGGAGCGAGGTTTCAGTAGACCTGGGACAGAGTTTTGAGCACTAGAATCGTTGGCTATGGTGACACTTGAGGAGGAAGCCGAAGGAGGAAGTTTAGAGTTGAAAGTCGATGTAGGAGGAATAATAGGAATTGAAGAGGAAGGTTGATTATGAATACAGTGGTCTTGAGTGCTGTTAGAGGTATGAGGGCGGTTATCACTTCCCGGTTGCCCACACCGTGGAAGGGTTCTTCTGGAGGTACCTGAAAAGGAAATTGGATTAGAGGTGGTCTCAGTGACCTGAGAGCGTGACCGCAGTGCCCAAGGGACAACTGCTTGAGGCCGGTCGCGCACGGCCTTTTCGTGGAGGTTTTTGACGTGTTAGCTCCGTTCTTCAAAGGGCCTTACCGCCGGAGACGGAAATCCGTGAGGTAAGGTGAGGTGTGCATTTTTAGGGTCGACCTTTTCTAACCCCACCCCTCCTTGTGGGAAGGCAGCATCGCTGTCATGCTGGTTGTCTGAAGGAAACACCTTACTGCTGTCACACCTCTGTACAGTCAGCAGTACGACTTCGCCTTCGGACCTTGGGTTTGTTGCTTTTAGTCTTACCGCTCTTCAACCGACCTGTCTGACATGGTAGGACCTTGAGGAACGGTTGTTCCAGCCAGTATAGCTCGGTTGCTTCATCACGATAGGCAAGCCCGACCACCACGTCAAGGTAGCAACAACGGTCGGGCTTTTCAGGTACTCCAGCTGGCAAATCCCAAATGGGACAAAACATCCTGAATTTCACTGCTAGTCATATTTCATCTATTCTATATTATACAATTGAAGTGTTTCAACAAAAAAAATCAACTGTCCAACACTCTTTTTCAAAATAATTGTCTATCTGGCATTTCCCCCCTGCAGATTGTTTTAGAGAACTATGCATTTCCTGGTGCATTAATCATTGGCACCGACAGTCATACACCTAATGGTGGCGGACTTGGTGGTTTGTGTATTGGTGTTGGTGGTGCAGATGCTGTGGATGTAATGGCTAATTTACCATGGGAGTTGAAGGCCCCATTAGTGATTGGCGTACATCTAACAGGTAAATTATCTGGTTGGACAAGTCCAAAAGATATCATATTAAAGGTATGATCGTTATATACTTTTTAAGGATTGGTTTTGTGTAAATTAGTTTTACATGTAATATTTTGTGCTAAAATATAGCCTACTAGGTGGCTGTAAAACAGAAATAATGTCCAAACTCAATCCTCTTTACTTTTAAGACTACAGCGCAAAGAAGGGAACGCTAAAAGCAAGGGCTTAGCAAATAATTATATTAGAATAGTAGGATTGGTGAAGATTATTGAAAAGTCACGAACCGATCATTGTTAGATCACCATTAAAAATTTGAAAGTACGCGCACGAGACCAAAGGTTATGGGTTCAACTTCCGTGAGCAGGATCGTAGATGTACATTACTAAGGAGTCCTATACTAAAACGAAACGGCCGTCCAGTACTTCCAGGTTTTCAATGGTGGTCTAAGATCACTTGGTGGTGTAAACTATAAGAATAATTGTATATTTCAAAGAGTGAGATATCCCGGTTCTGAATTGTTGTAACGTGTGAGACTGTAGGTTTTGATAAGCAGTGTTTTATTGATCGATCGATCACAGTAACACGGAAAACACGTACGGACGACCTAGTGCCCTGATTGGCCCTGCTTCGCTGTCTGTCCTAACCAGTTGAGTCAAGAACGCAAGTCACAGCCTCTGAGTTATGAATCATTGTATTTCAGACATACTCTATTTATATTACCAAACAAACAAACCACATCGTACCATAAAATAGAAAACAATATTTACACGATATTTAACAAGTGAAACAAACATCGACCAATGGGAAATGTACATTTAAGGTCCAAGGCCACCATAGACTTAACACGATAATTATTAGTATATTTTTCCGACTATCCTAGCATGAATTAGATAAATTGCAAATATATACAGATCAATAACACAATAATCCATTAATTCAAGTCTTTTACATTTAAAACCACAGTGCAAAGAAACTAGGAAAAAAGTGGCATTCAGGCAAATATCAAAAGTGAAATTCTAAAGAATAACAGTTTAAAAAATGATAGGTTCCACCAGTCTCAAAGTTAGGTAAATGATAAATGTATCAAATAAACCATCATTGATCTTGACCAGTCTCTTATGGTTTTAAATGAATTGATGGTACATTCTGCTCAGACAGTGCCAACAAGATAATTTTAATTAGATGAAATGGCGCAAAAGTAGTCATAATGGTGTAAATATAGTCGGCATTTTTCTCCTAGATTATGAGTTGCAATAATATCTTGATGTTAACTTTACGAACTCATTACTTATTTTCAAACTTCATGATATCTTTAGTTTTTTTAATACCATTGGTATTACTATTTAGACCCCTTTTTTATTCATGTTAATTTCACCTCATCTTGTTGATTTAGCATCGGCGCTTATTTGAGATATTTACTGAACTCAATAGCACCAAATCAACCTGTTTTGATAAAATTTCCTGCAAATGGTTATCTTCAGACTTTTTGTTAGCTTAATTTTCCTCTTTACTCATGTTGGTTGCCATTTTCGATTTACCTCTAACCATGCTATGATTAGCTAACCTTTACCGCATAGATTGGTTAGTAAGATCTCATTTTGGACATCCAGGCCAAGAAAACAACCTATCGCTGCGCAGGTCTACTTACTTAATTTGTTTTACTGTACTTACTGTTACCTCATCGAGGAGGAGCATATGTTTCACACCAAGATTCTCCAGCCATCTCTACTGTGAGTTCTCCTTTACGATTGTTTCCAGTTTCTATTCATTCCTTTGATGTCTCCTTTCAACTCCCGACATAATGTGTTCTTTGGTCCACTTCTTTCACTTTTGCCCTCAGTACTCTAAGTTAGGATTTGGTTCATGATGCAGTTTGATGATTTCTGCTATGTACGTCCTATCAACCTTCACCGTCTTTTCCTAATTTCCTCTTCAGCTGGAATCTGGCTTGTTCTCTGTCACAGTGGGTTGTTGCTGATGGTGTTCGGTCAACGGGCATTGAGTATCTTGCGCAGAAAATTGTGTAGAAATACCTGTATATTCTTGATGATGGCTGTGGTTATTCTCTAAGTTTCAGCTGCATACAGTAGAACTGTCTTGACTTTCATATTGAAGATTGTAACTTTGATGTTGGCTGACAGTTGTTTTGAGTTCCATATGTTCTTCAACTGTAGGAATGTTATCCTTGACTCGCCAATCCTTACCCTTGCATCTGCACCAGATCGTCCTTGTTTGTCGATGATGCTACCTAGGTACTTGAAACTTTCCACCACTTTCAGAGTTAGTCCATCATGTGTGGTTGGTTTGGTGCTGTGTATTGTATTTCAGGATCCCACTTTTTACCCTATGTACGATGAGACCTGATGTTGCAGAATCTGCTGCTACATTGGCTTTCTTTACCTGAATTTGTTGGTGTGTATGGGATAGAAGAGCTAGGTCATCTGCAAAGTCCAAATCATCTAGTTACATGTAAGCTGTTCATTGTATTCCGTGCCTCCTCTGAAACATGGAAGTCTTCATAATCTTATCGATTACCAGAAGAAAGAGGAATGACTAGAGTACGCAGCCTTGTCTAACTTCGGTCCTCACTTGGAATGCAGCTGTCCTCCATGCACGACTTAGCAGTGTAAACCGTCGTATGAATTCCAGATGGTGACGATTTTCTCAGATACACCATAGTGTCGAAGATAGTTCCATAAGGTTTTCCTATCCATATTGTCATATGCTTTCTCATGATTATGGAATTTGACATATATTGATGAGTTCCATTCAATTGATTACTCAGCAATGATCCGTAATGTCGCGATTTGGTTTGTGCATGACCAATCCTTACGGATTCTAAACTGTTGGTCTCGAAGCTGTGCGTCTACTGAATTTTTCGTCCGCTTCAACAAGTGTTGAGAACGTTTTTGGATACTGATAGTAGTGTAATGTCTCTGTAGTTCTCACACTTACTCAGATCTTCCTTTGGTGTTTGTATGAGGTGCCCTTTCCAATTTGTTGGAACTTGTTCTTCCTCCCAAATGCTTCTGAATAGAGTGTGGAGCACCTTCTCAGTTACCTTTCTGCCTGACTTCAGTGCTTCAGCTGGTAGGTTATCAGGTTCCTCTGATTCCTCACTCTTGATTTGTTAGGTGACTATGCCGTTTTCTCGGATTGTCGATAGCTGCATAAAATATTACCGTTTATTGATCTGGACATCTTCAGTCATCATCTGTTCAGCCAACATGACATTTCAGGGTAGACAGTGGCGGTTGTTCATGCCTAACAAATCTCTTGACTACACTAAAAAAATACTTGCTTCTAAAACGTCGTTTAGTTTGTTATTTTTATCTGCGTCGCTGAATGCTTTATCTAGCTAACTAGTTTTCGAACTCAAAGTTCGAATATATTCCCTTTTTTGTGATAAACACCTCTCCCTAACTCAAACCTAAATCTTTTCATTATAATCAAAGTTAGTAAACATAAAATAAGTGAATAAATAACAAAAGTTTACTTTTTCCATTGGTAAACTTATTCGACAGCTACAGACTTGTGTACTTGATTTCGATTCAAATTCTAAGCGTGCAGACTAGTGATACCTATACATGGATTACACCAGTCGAAATGAATGGAGCGAGGTTTTTACCTACGGTTCAGTGGCTAAAATTGAAAACCCTTAGCTAATATTGAGTTAATGTTCCAAATGTGAAATATATTTGTTTTGTTGCTGTAATTTCACATCTCATTTATTGTGCAATTTTTTAGGTAGCTGAAATCCTAACAGTGAAAGGTGGAACTGGAGCCATCGTTGAATATTATGGTCCTGGTGTTGAATCGATTTCATGCACCGGTATGGCTACAATTTGTAATATGGGCGCTGAGATCGGTGCTACAACATCAATTTTTCCATTTAACGATCGAATGCTGGATTATTTACGTGCTACGAATAGAGCGGATATAGGAGATTTAGCTTCGAAGCATAAGGTGATCGATCATTTCAGAGCTAACCTTATGTATATATAATGAAATTTACTTTACTTAAAAATAACATTTTTAGTCTGTCATTGTCGGTATTGATATATGAACTCGATAGCCTAGTGGATAACGGGTTAGGCATTTGAAACGGAAGGTTACTTTGTTCCAGTCTTTATAGGAATATCAACAAGGGGGTACAGTTGGCGAGTCCCAAATAAGATGAAACACGTCTCCTGGTTTCTAATGCTGACCAAAACTCTATATATCCCGCAAAAAAAAACAGTTTTAGTTATTAATGTGATCTGAAATGTACTTCCACTAATGCATTTTGGTTGTGTTGCATTCTGATTTCTCTCTATTCAGGCTTCTTTACTTACATCAGATGTAAATTGTAAATATGATAAAATAATTGAAATAAATTTGGATACCCTAGAACCACATATAAATGGTCCGTTCACACCAGATCTGGCACATCCAATTTCACAAGTGAGTCTCCGTATATCCTAATTTTCATTCCTAAATGAATTATGTTTTTTTACATAGTATTGTAAACGGTAATATTTATCACGAATGGATGTTAGAGCGTTTTTGGAAACCCATAGAGTACTGGATACGTCTATTTCGTCTTCCTTGTAATTCTTTGACATTGCACACTCATTACTCCATATCCATATTGAATAAAAGACTTTCGATTATCGCTCTGGGTAGTGCCTAATACTTCCAAATCACTCGGTTGGAATCCAACTCCAACCTATACTCTATGTAAGTATAATCCTCAACCAATTATTACAATGCTGTAGTATTGTTTTATCACCTGCAAAAAATTGTATCTATAATTAATGGTACACGTAATGTGTTGTGTCATGAAAAAAAGTTAAATACTAAATGATATTGGTCCATGGTACCAGTTCATTAAAGTCCATAGAATTCCATCTAATAGATATTTGGGAACTTAAATGCCTTTATTAGTTGTAGAGTCTAACTTTGTTGCCGTAAACCTTAATTAGTACTAAACTGACACCGATACATACTCATTATGTTACTTGAAATTTTCATCAGCTTGTTATTCTGACTGCCACTCAATTTTTACCGAGTTCAAGTTTTATGCACTCAACTATGAGATACACTTTCATTTATGTGTTAGCTAGTAATACTGCCAGGTAGGTTGCCAGAACCGAAGTTACTGGAGTGGAATTCGAGCCTGTGAACTGTCGGTTTATGTTATGATGAAAATAATAATGATATTATTAAATGAAAAAATAACCCAACTAGTAGAGATTACTATAATGTGAGCTATATACGTATATTGATTAATAACCTTTGCCGTTTGTATAAAATACTAACGAAGATTTTTTCCCCAATATTTTATAGATCAAAGTACTCATATTAATTAACATATGTAATGTTCGTTTGGAATTGTACAGATTATGTATGGTATCATTAAAATGATAAGCAATTATTTGCTGGTTTTTTCCTCGTTTCTATAAAATAATGAGAATTTTTTCAAAGCCATAAATTTTATACATCATGTACATGCATCACTCTTCACTCTATTCAGATCGAGTCAACTAGTTATAAATACCTGGTTATAAGTACCTGTATTCAAACACCTCAACCAGAGGAGGAAAATAACTACCTCTCCCTATTGTTTCATCCGAAGAGTGGAGTCAGACAGAGTTCCTCGACCTTACTGTTCCTCTTCAACTTTGCCATCTTTTAAACTCTGGAAACAGCTCAGATAAGAGCTTATTTTTGTGGTGTAAATCTGTCACCTAGAGAAGGACTTCTACTTGGGGTATACAGACGATATTACCTTACTTGTACCATGATACCCAAGCCTTGCAATTCACACTTAAGCAGTTGATAACCAGTATTCGTAGGTTTAGTAGTACTTTTTGGCTTCTAAATGCAATGTAATTATACAAGACTGGCAGGAGCCTGTCCCTGCACTCACTCTTGCTAGCGAGCAGTTAGAAGTAGTTGAAAAGATCGTGTATCTGGGTAGCCATGTGAGTATGGGTAAGGACGTGATTGGTATGGTCAGCTTAACTAAAGTGAAAGTTGAAGCGGGTCATGCCAATCTGGGCCATCTTTGGCTCCATCGTAATGTTGTTAGTCTGGCTGCAAAATGTCGGGTTTACAAGGTGTCAATAAAAGCAATTTAACTCCATGCTTGTGAAACTTGACCTCTTGGAGTTGAGGATATTCAGTAACTCGGTATCTGACCATCATTGTTTTCGAAAGATTGCTGAAGTCCAGTGGCAACACTTTGTTAGTAATTCTGAGGTTCGAAAATTTTTGTTCGGGTACATTGACGATAACTCAATTAGTATCAAAGACTTTAGTGGCTTGAACATTTGCAATGAATGTCATCCCGGCGGATTTCACGTCGTGCATTATTTGCCAAGGTCGAAACTGGTTAAAAAAAAATCGGAGAGATGGTCACTCTGTGACATGATACCGGAATATGAAACAAAATTGTACAGGACCAACATTTGTAATTTCCTTTTACTTCATAAAAGAGAAAAGGACTTCTCCAACTGGAAGAATTCTTTCGGGTTGTATTTTTTTCAATTGAAATGCTTCTCTCATTATCTAATACTCCCATTCACTTAGTTTTACCCATTTGTTGCTTTTTTTCTGGTTTATATTCACCGTCCTTCAATCTCTTCTTACTATGTAGTGCTTTTTTGGTGCCCCTTTGTATCAATATTTGCTTATCTAGATAATAATAATGATCCGTGTAAAACGATTTAATGCACCATGCTTTTTATGTTACGTTAGTGAAAGTGTTATGTATACTGTTTTAATGTTAGCCAACCGAATCATCAACAAAGAGCGAACCATATATTATGAACTGCACAATTATTAACTATCTCATCCATTATTCACTATTAACCGTAAATATTTTAAAAAGATGTAATCTACTATGAGTTACGTAATCAAATAGAGCCATATTTATCCAACTTTAAGCCAGACTTTCTTATGTTTGAATTGGTGATACCATTTCTCAAATATCTATCCAAACTAAACTGGATAAAGAGGGATTCAAACACTTGGTTTATTTATTGGAAATTGAATGCTTTAACAACTAAGTTAACACTTAAAATATTTGCACCAACAGTGTTCAAATTATCTGTGTTTAGATATCTTTTTTTCCAGTACTTATTTCACGTGTTTTTTTTTTGTTTTCTTGATCAATAAGTACTGTTTTGTTCTTTCTACTAGTTGGACAATCAGTCATTTGTTGATTGTCAAGTGATTTTCGCATTCCTTTACAACAAATTAATGCTACATTTCTAACTTGCTGTAAATTCAACGAAATATTACTAATGTAATTATGACCATTGATCTACCGTACTGATTGTTTTAGTATAAAGTGCAAGTGTTTATAAGTAAAAACAAAATCAATATATATTCCTCAAATCTAACTGTCCTTGTTTAAGTAATACCCATCATATATATATATATATATATATATATATATATATATATATATATATATATATATATATATATATATATATATATATATATATATATTCCCAGGGATAAATCACCGTGTGTTATTATGGAGTAAATTCTCCACCTCCGATATAGTTTCATGTCACTGATCACTGCTCCTTACCAGAACCTTGAGAAACTCATTTTGATCTCTGATAAAAGTGACGATTTGAATCACGGCCAATCAAATATTTAGGTTAAATATACTTGAGAGGTGCTAGTACGGACGCATTGTTGGTTAGAATTTGGTCTTACTTTTTAAGGAAATAAAAATCTGACTTTTTCTGGGGAAGCTGTATTTAATGTCAAAGTTTCTATCCCTAATGAATAGATCAAATCCTTTAAATTAAATTTAAAAATTATTAAGAATTTGGTCGTCTAATATGTCAGCCACCATAGAATTTAAGAATAGTATCTTACTTAACAAACAATGAAACAGATTCAACGAAATAATCAAAACCCAATAGCTAAAACAAATTATGAAAAAAATTCTCATATTGTAAATTTAGAACAAGATATATAAGCGAAGAAAAAACTAGTACACCTGTCATCACACTTGTACTTTTCACTGATTATGTAATCTTTTCCATTGTTATCATTGACTCACAAATTACCTTGATTGGTTTAATAATTTCGTATATGCATATAAATATTACTGTATATTCGAGTAAAGCCTGATGAGGATCTAATCTAAAACAAAATAATCAAATAACAACTTCAACCAGATCAAAAGATGAACATAATCACACATTAATGCATAGAGTTAAGCGATTAGGGAGTGGATAACTTTACGCATAAGGAGAAATAAACAAATCATACATGAAGCGATTTTCTAATCCATACACGTATGTATGTTCAAAAAAGATTTTACACAGTTTATTTAATATTTGTTGACTGTTATATTATTGTTATTCTTATTAGCTATCCAGTCATGCATCCAAAGCAGGTTGGCCGCTGCATATCAGTGCTGGACTTATCGGTTCCTGTACCAATTCATCTTATGAAGATATGGCACGTGCTGCCAGTTTAGCTCGTCAAGCTTTAGATAAAGGTGTTAAAATTAAATCACAATTCTTTATAACACCTGGTAGTGAACAAATTCGTGCAACTATTGAACGTGACGGTATCACGAAAATATTTCAATCTATTGGTGGTGTAGTATTAGCTAATGCATGTGGTCCATGTATTGGTCAGTGGTCTAGAAAGGTAAGTAAATTACTATTTTTGGAGGGGGCATTTCCTCTCCAATCCCTCACACAAAAAACTGGTAATTCCAAATAATAATAATAATAATAATAATAATAATAATAATAATAATAATAATAGTAATAATAATAATAATAATAATAATTATTATTATTATTATTATTATTATTATAAGCCATGATCGATGGTGGCTAGTTAGTTATTTTACTTACTATTGAACAGATATTATTGATAGAGATGCCTTTGAAGTATTACCCACCTATGTCGAGATTATCAAGTTAACGATACTCAGGTTAGACTTAGGATGGTAAATCGGTTGATAAGGCTGTAAATTATCACCTACTGAAGTGTCAAGGATATGGGTTACATATGCTAATGCACTACTGTCTTCAACGGGCAATTTTTACTGATGTGGAAATAGGTTGGAAGAAAGCTAAGGATATCCAAACCAAAACGTTGCACCAGTCTATTGATTCATTGGCTGTTGAACTAAGCCATGTTGGTAGGTTCAGAGTGACTTCGTAGTTGAGGTTCACACGATTATTGTAACATTTGGTCGGACGACCTTAGGTAACATGTCTGAGAATCAGTTTGACTGGTGAAGATGTATTCGCTGTTTGTATTCCCTCGGTTTTTTAAGTTTTAAGATTACATTATACTTCGTTTAGAACCTGAGTGCAGATATATATATGTCACATTGTAGTTTGATCATGTTGATTCAGTAGGAATAAACAAACACATCTTTATATCCATGATTGATCACTGAGTGGTGTCTAATATTATATCATACACCTTCACAATCTGACTTATTGCCACAAAAGTATTCGGGTAACATCTCTAAGTATAAAGCTAGGCGGAGTGAGTTAGAATCTTACAGAAAGCATCAGCGACCGTCAAAATTGAATGTACATCTTGCTGACGAATTTCATCTAGCAGAAAATCTGGATCAAAGAGAGTTCCCTGCCGATTGACTCCAACCACCTTATAATGTAATAACTAATTTGTGTATAATATTATTTAGACATTCTATTGAATCTGTGTTAATTCATTGATCTTTATTTTTTAGGATACAAAGAAAGGTGATAAAAATACGATTGTTTCATCGTACAATCGTAATTTCACTGGTCGTAATGATGCTAATCCAGCTACACATGCATTTGTTACTTCACCGGAATTAGTCACAGCTTTAGTATTCGGTGGCAGTTTATCATTTAATCCATTGACAGATGAACTAGTTGCAGATGATGGATCAAAATTTAAATTTAAACCACCAACAGGTATGTGTTTGTGTGTGTGTATGGATTTGCATCTTATCGTTGTATTTTGGTGGAGTTACATTCTTTAAGTCTAAATGACTTAATCTTAAGGTCTTCACTACCTTACTTCGTCAGGATAAACTTCAAATAGATGTGGTTTGCCTAAAGCTTCATGATTAAACCATCCAGTTCGTTGCTATAGTGAACTGATTATTACTATTTATAGTCTTGTTACAGAATTGTTATTGCGCTTCTATATTCCCTACATTGTGAGTTTCTGTCGGGACCTATTAACTATTGTTATACTTTTTATTGTTACCTAATCGATTGTTGATTAATTATGCACTTTTTATCCAGTTCTCTGTCACTCATGGCATGATAATGTGTAAAGAATACTCTCTTGTTTTGATCCATGTTATGTAATCTAATAATTAATGTTTACTAACTAGTGAGTGTTCGAGACAACAGCACTGGGTGCCCGAAATATAAGTAATAAAAGCTTGTCTACTGTGTTCTCGTGTTCGAACTCATGACTAGAAATAGAAGAAAGTTTACATATCGGTAGACCAATATGAGTTAATGTTATTTCGACCTCAGTTGCAGTCTTTCATTGTTCAAAGCTTTAGATGCTAGTCTATAAACGAAATAGTACACTCAAGGCAGATAAATATGACAGAATTCTAATTGGCGAATTTCCTCGCTAGATATTGATCAAGTTATCGTTATAACACGCAGAAAATGCAATTCCGTCAAAATCGTCCACCTGAGCTACAAGTCATCTCAACCGTCGTTTTATTAGCTTATTCTCTAGTGTATTTTATTTCCCCATAAAATCTCAGTATTAATTAGTTTATCTTATTGTAAGTTCTTGGCTGACAATTGCTGAAGAGGATTCCTTAAAGAAGGCGCAACGTGTCTACAGTACTTCTTGGTTTATTATTTATATCACATGGTTACTCCTTCCCACTGGGTGTACACACACACATGCAATACATTTCAACGACCGGTTTAACTATGAAATTATCTAGGTGAATAAATCATTCGATATATGTTATATCTTTCATGGTATTTAATCCTAACAAATTGTTTAAACAATATTTGATGCTACTTTCTACTCAAAACGTGCTTTCCAATTTTAAAATACCATTTGATTATGAAGTAGTAGTATAGTAGAACCCAGAAAATATATTTCTTATTATATTTATAGGTATTCACGATTGAAAATCAAGTGATTTAATTACTAATAAGTGGTATGTTAATCCAGTGTCTCAGACATTCGCTTATCAAGTTTGTACTCTATCCTATTAACTTCGGCTTGTACAGCTAAGTAGTGTATGATTATTACAAGTATATGAACATGTTCATAACTTGATGAAGAATACTCGTTTACCAGGCATAGATTCGTGTACTTGCCTTCAAGCTACACTGAACGTGGTGGCCAGTAACACTACCCGGTCACCTAAACCGAAGTAGATTTTGTTTTAACTTCAAATCTACCATATGGTTATTGTAATTTTATTATCTCACTATTAAAAATCAGGCGATACACTACCGAAGAAAGGTTTTGATCCTGGTCAAGATACATATCAACCACCGGTGACAGATACTTCCAAAATCACAGTTAAAGTTGATCCGTCAAGTCAACGTTTACAATTACTTAGTCCATTTAAGAAATGGGATGGTAAAGATTTAACTGAAATGCCAATATTAATTAAAATTAAAGGAAAATGTACTACAGATCATATTTCAGCTGCTGGGCAATGGTTAAAATATCGAGGCCATTTGGATAATATTTCAAATAATTTGTTCATTGGGTAAGGATTTTGTGCAAACTATGCCAGTGAATCAGTATTAATATTTATTTTTAAGACACTTGTTTGTTAGACACCAATCTTTGAATTATTGGCTTGAAAGTAATCGCTCAGCCAAGAATACAACTACCAGTGGTATCTACTTAACATCAGGCTATCAACACAGTAAACATCAATAAACAGTGTGACTAGCTGAAGGCAACGCCTTTTTATGGAAAGGTTTGATCCTAAATTAATTTAGAGGTAGAACGCTGTTAAAGCAAGGTATGATGGATGTCTTCGCCTCCCGGTTACACATACGATGAAAGGATACTTCTTAAGGTATCTAAAGAAGAAACTGGGTTAGGTTTAGTGTTATAGACGTGGTAGCTTTACATGCGAGCCCAAGGGAAAATTGTGTGGGTTTGATCACGCGTATCCTATTCCTGAGTGGTTTTTGATATGTTGATTGTGTACTTTTGAGTCCTTACTGCCAGAGATGAAAATATGTGTTACAAAGTTTGGTGTTGTACCGGTATATATGTATGTTAGATAAACAAATCAAATGAGTTTGTAGGTATCAGTGCCAAGATTGGACTTAATATTTTCAAATAAATTGGGCATCAGGGAGAAAGTAAATAAATGAATATGCTATCTTTGATATCCCAGTGAGTAGAAAATTTTGTTTCTGACGCTTCCTTACTTACTTTAAGTCACTTCTTCAGAGTAAATAAATAACCAAAATAAAATTAACACAAATTTAACTAGTACTAAGGAAGCAATCCAGAATATTTTTAGTACAATCAAAGTAAAGTGTACGATTTTTAGACCTCCCCTTTTCTAATTCCCTCCTTCATTTATGGGAAGGCACTATCAATCCAGATGCTGGTCGTTTGAGGGAATCACCTCACCACCGTCACATTTCGATACGGCTAACAGTACAGCTTAATCCTCGGACCTTATGTTTACTGCTTTTAGTCGCACCGCTTCAATCGATCTACCCGGTCCGCCAGGACCTAAGTGAACAAGTCTTCTTCCCAATACACCTCAATCCAGGCTATCACGATATGCAAGCTCAACCACCAAGTCAAGGTAGCAAATACAGTTGAATTAATGGGGTACTTACATTCAGTTCTTCTTGATATTTCTAGTCTGTCTGTGTTCACTGAACTAAAGCAAGAAGAACTTAACTTCATACATGTAAAGTAATCACTTCATCTTGTTTGCTTTACCTCAACTTGACTGGTAAATCTTTTTTTATTGATGATCAGCAAAAGTACACCACTAATAAATGTCAAAAATAGGATAAAATAGATGTACTAGTGTCTTAAACCAAGACGAAACATATATCCAGTACACTTGTTTTCATAATTGTTCTGCGACTCATGTTTGTTATTAAACGGAAATACTTCGGAATTGAAATCTCGTTTCCTATTTGCCTATTGCTCCAATACATAATAACCAAATGATTTGTTTGACCTAAGTGAAAACGGTAACATCGATATTGTTATTATTAATTGACGATCGCACTGAAAGTCACTAGAATAGACAATGACCCAAGTTTGTGAAATCCGTTACTGTTATGCAATCATGTCGTAAATTATTGATGTCATTTACTGATTATATGTGGTGTTCTTAAATCAAGTTGTATTGCATTGTTCAAATATTGTTCCACTATCATGATCGACATGATTATTTATATTACGTTTATGTTATTTAATTTGATATGGAAACATTTACACTAGTCAAACAACTTCACAAACACTATTACTCACAATAGCATTTTATCTAGATTGTGTAACACAATTAGGCTTCTTTCATTATTGGTTCCTACTATATATCGGCTTATATATATAACTTTAGTTTAATTCTGTATATTTCCCCTGTAGAGCTATTAATGAAGAGAATAATGAAATGAATAAAGTATTACATCGTCCATCTGGTCAGTGGGATACTGTTCCAATGGTAGCTAGAAGATATAAAACGGACGGTATCAATTGGTGCGTTATCGGTGATGAGAATTATGGTGAAGGAAGTAGTCGAGAACACGCTGCCCTGGAGCCTAGACATTTAGGTGGTCGTGCAATTATTGTGAAAAGTTTTGCACGTATACATGGTAGGTTTTTGTTTTCCGTTAAATTTAATCTGCATTATATTGTTTTGAATTTGAATGAAATATCTAACTGATTGATCACTGGATTGACTGAGTAGTTGTGACCAATTCCCCCATATTTGTTTGGTTCTTTTTAGTGCTGATCAGATTGAAATGTACTGGTCACTAGTTTAAGTGACTCGACATTACATTTACTACGTTGATATGTGTTAAATGATTACAGATAGTATACAAAAAGCTCTTGTTGACCTAGATCTCCTGCCAGTTTTTACTCGTCAGCAATACATACCTACAGTCTTGAGGGAAGTAATACTTCCTGTGGGGTTTGAGATCACATAGTACAGTTTGGGAGCTTTCTACCAAATACCTCTAACCAGCTAACATCTCGACACTGAATGCATCAATTAGTATTCATTTTTACCGTAAAATTGTGGAAATAAACTGTCAGAGGTGAATTATTAAGGTGTTTGGAAACTGTTACCTATCATCATTCTGCGTTTGAAGAAGAATTCGCTTTCAATTGAAGTCTCTTCTGTTAATCCTTAATCTTATAGTCCTATTGGAAGTAGGTCAGTCGCAGCCCGAATAACTTGACAGTTAGGTCTCAAACTGTGAAACTGGATGACACGGGTTCAAATCCTACAAAGGGTGTCAGTCCTGTTGAAATTTCATGTACGCTTTGCTGAAGAATTTCAACACAAGGTTTCCTGCCGACTCCCTCTGACTACCAAACATGTCAATACTCTTCTAATTCCCTTTTACAATACTTGGATTGATCTAAAATTTTATTGTTTCTACATTTTATCTCCTTTACGACTACTTATATATTTCTAATAATGTATATATAGAGAAACAACTCATCTTGGCTGATTGTCCTCGTTTAATCTAATGATAAGTCGACTGACTATATATCCCCAGGATTTAAAATCAGAATTTTCTCACCTTTTAGAACGGTCACAGTTAAGGAATATTAATTCTAGTCATTGAGCCATAGGTTCGGACCCTGCCACGCTTCGGTTTCAGCAACCCTCACACTTAGATTGTATGCAGCTCAAAGTCTAGTTTGTGAATTTGCACATGGTAGATGAGTTAGTATTGACAATAATAAATACTTAATAAACACCAGTATAGGGGTTGTGGAGATTGTTAAGTTTTTGATTGAGATCATGAATCAATTGATGTTAGACCACCGTTGGAAACCTGAAAGCACTGGACGGCCGTTTCGTCCTAGTATGGGACTCTTCAGCAGTGCGCATCCACGATCCTGCTCCCTGCGAGATTCAAACCCGGGACCTATCGCTCTCGCGCCAGGTGCTTAACCAACTAGACCGCTGAGCCGTCATAGACACTAACACCATTGGATGCCGGCTCAGTGGTCTAGTTGGTTAAGCACCTGGCGCGAGAGCGATAGGTCCCGGGTTTGAATCTCGCAGGGAGCAGGATCGTGGATGCGCACTGCTGAAGAGTCCCATACTAGGACGAAACGGCCGTCCAGTGCTTTCAGGTTTCCAACGGTGGTCTAACATCAATTGATTCATGATCTCAATCAAAAAATTAATAAACAGTTTGCATAAATACAGTTTCACTGTTATGTTTCAACTTCACTTGAGTTGTTAAGTATGTAATGGATAGTATTCATTGAAACTTGCTACCTTATTTTTTTCATCTTTCAATAAAATGGGTTTTTTTTCTGGACAGTAGAGTAATTCCAATCTACTGCTTGTTTTTTCAAAAAATGAAACATGTACAAGCTACTTATAAGTAGGTTATATGAACCAGGTTAATAATAATCATAATCATGATTATGTGAAATTTCATATTTCCTTATTGTTTCCACCGGTCACTAATACAAAGTGCAGAATTTTCCGAAAAATAACTACAATAATGGGTCACATTTACTCTAAAATCATGGATATTATTCATAGTTTTCATCATAAATTGATATTAGTTAGAAAAACATTGGAAACCGGGGAGCACTAGACAACTGTTCTCGTCGTTCTCAGTATAGAATTTTATTCAGCAAGACATATTTATGACTCTCATCTTTCACCACTGGGGTAGGGATAGAGAACCTAGGACTTTGGTCTCTTGCGCTTATACAGACACTTAGCCTCTAGGCCATAATGTAGATTATAGAAGAACTTCAACTTTCTTCGCATGAATAATAGTTTACAAGATTTCACTTTTTCTCTATCTGTTATTATTATTATTTAGAGACAAATTTGAAAAAACAAGGAATGCTTCCATTGACATTTGCAAACCCATCAGATTATGATAAAATTAAACCGTCAGATAAAATTTCCCTGTTAGATTTGAAAAATCTTCAACCTGGCAAAGTGAGTGAAAAGAATATCATTATTATTTTCTTTATATATATATATATATATATATATATATATATATAGAGAGAGAGAGAGAGAGAGAGAGAGACTGATGAATACATACTTACAACCTCATTCCTACAATTGAAGAACATATGGAACTCAAAACGACTGCCAACCAACATCAAAGTCAGAATCTTTAATACGAACGTCAAGACAGTTCTACCGTATGGAAATGAAACGTGGAGAACTACTACAACCATCATCAAGAAGGTACAAGTATTTATAAACAGTTGTCTAAGAAATATACTGAATGTCCGTTGACCGGATGCTATCAGCAACAACTTTCTGTGGGAGAGAACAAACCAGCTTCGAACTGAAGAGGAAATAAGGAAAAGACATTGGAATTGGATAGGACATACATTATGGAAATCACCAAACTGCAGCACTAACTTGGAATTCTGAAGGGAAACGGAAAAGAGGAAGGCCAAATAACACACTGCGCTTGGAATTGGAAGCAGACATGAAAAGGATGAATAGTAACTGGAAAGGAATGCCCAGGACAAGTCTGGATGGAGAATGCTCATGGGTGGCCTATGCTCCTCGACAAGGGTTAACAGGCGTAAGTAAGTAATATACAGTCCGTTGTATATAATGCAAAAAGATAAATCGAAAGCCGTGAAATTTCCTGACGTTGTGGAAAATAAGTTGGAATTCGTAAATATTCTGAATTGTAAAACTTCAGTTAGTTTAAAATATTGTGTGACTTATTAAATATCCTTCGTAACTGAAATCTCCATAATCATAGATAATAATGAAAGCTTATCAATCATGAATACTCTGCTGAAGTTTGATCTATTCATTTAGAAGTGTAGAAATATAGTTTAGATGAAAGGTTTGTCAATTAGTCACTGATATATGTGTTAGCCCAAGTTCCTATATCATATCAGTACAATGACTTACAATTTACAAGATGAATTGAAAAAAGGAATTTGGAATAATCATAGTAATAACGATAGTGACAGCGATCAAAGGTAGAGACAGAATGACAAAATATGTATCAAAAAGTATTGTAGGTTAAAATCGGGTTGAAATAAGGAGTGATTGGTTCTGTTCTCTCTGCAACCAATTGTTTGCTAAATGTTTTCAAATTGAAATTTTTTGGAATTTGTTCGATTTAAGGGTAGTTTTACTAACAGATTAACATCAACTGTTGAAAATCTAGAGGCATTCAACTTCTCGATAGTTTCATACTCACATCACTAATCAAGCTGATTATAACTGTTACGTCCTGCGGTCATCTGATTCCACTTACTGAAATGCTCTGCTTATTCTCTAACCCAACTAATTACTTGAGTGAGAAAACCAAGAATGAACAACAAGCTTTTGTTGGTCTACTGAATCCAGAATATTTGCACGACTCATTCATAGATATATATCATTCTCTCTCTCAGAAAGTTAAACCAGATTGTTAACCAGTAGCGTATATGTTTATTTCCTCAGAAAGTTTTAACAAATCTTAATCTATCACTTCTCATTTGGTCTACGTCTGATCGACCCAGTTTATCAATAACACATACAGTACATTCGATGAATCTTTTCATGACCAAAAATTCACATTGTTTTAATTTTGAATGATGTTTTAAATGAATTTAACTTTAATTTATAACTCTGAGTATAATGTAATTATTAATTACATATATTTTTAATACTCACACATATGATAATTTCTTTTAGCCTGTTCGTTGTGTAATCCACCATGAAAATGGTAAAACTGAAGAAGTTCAATTATTGCATACATTTAATGAGAATCAAATTGAATGGTTCAAAGCTGGAAGTGCTTTAAATCGAATGCGTGAATTAGGCAGTAAACAACATTAAATTCTGTCTATCATATAACGTCTTATACTTACTACCTTCCTTTTGAGATAGTTGCTAACCAATTTTTTTAAAATTTGTTTAGTTTCTTTATTTAGTTTCTTTGTTTATTCTTCTTGAATGAACTTCCTTTTCATTCAAGTCATACATTTCTATTTCTATGCTGTTTTGTAGTCATATATATATATATATATATATATATATATATATATATATATATATATATATATATATATATATATATATCAGTTAGCTATGCAATTTATTAATCTACAAATTACGCATTTTCACATTAATTTATTTCCTCCCAAACTATCCCCCACTTTCTCCCTCCATATTGTTTTGTACTAGTAGAGTTTGATAATCAGTCAATTGTCATTTAAAGTAGTTTAAAGTAGTCTTGATACTATTTACATATATGTATTGATTGTTAGTTTGCATTTTCTCAAACATACGTGCATGGATCCATACAAACAAGCGTACACATGGTGATCTATGAAAATGGAACTACTTGTGCAACGTATCATTTTTTTCTCTGTTTTTTTATAGACAGTGAATATTTGTGTTCCTTGTTTAAAATAAACAACTTGAGCTTTTGTGAATAAAATGTTACATATGATTAACGGGAATGGTTTTCGAGAAGTAAATTACTCAATCCTTTTTTTAATTGTTATATCTTGTGGCATTGTGCCCCTATCAATGTGATGGAATGATACCGCCAATTACAGAAGAGTGATTTATCGACCGGAGCAGGGACGCGTAAACGCTTACGATGAATCTAGTGTTCTTATCGATCTTTCTTCTTGCCTGTTGAGTCCAGAACACCAATCTCAGCTTCTGCTATATGAATCATATATTTCAAACATACTGGGTTTATATACAAACCAAAAAGACTACATCGTACCATAAAATAGAAAATAACATTTGTACATGATCTAACCAAAAGTGGCTGTGAATGTGAGAGACTGTAATTAATGGAAGAACATGAATATACATAGTTTAGCTACTTAACAGTAATACAGTAAAAATTTAGGTATCGTATTTGTCCATAAATAGTTCTCAAAAGTTATCATTCATAATTCTCGTCAGGATATAGCACATACCTTTCCATTCTGTCTTTTCAAACCATATTCTCAAGTTTCAGTTGTTTTATCTCTGCTACTACATTATTTCGATATTCTTTGTTATTTGCATATCGTCGTGTTGATCTGTTATGGTAACTTGAGTCGACGCATATCTAAGTCAGGCTCTGTTTTGATCATGTCTATCTGTCTATTCTATGATAAAAGTACCTTTAAATAAAACATACACCGACAAAAGTCATCTAATTTTTCGCTTATATATGCATACTGGTTAACATCGATTTTGGAATACGGTGTATCTTATTGATTAAAATTAAACTGAATCAAAACGTTCGTGAAAATAATTACCAATTTTTATAGATCTTAAGTAAAGAACTGATTATTTTTAGACCACCATTAAAAACTAGGAAGCGCTGGGTGGCCGTTCCATTCTAGTATGGGACTCCTCAACAACACGTATCCACTCCCAAGCACCTGTAAATCTAACCCAGCAACTTCGGTCTCGTATGAGAAACCAGAACTGTAGACAACTGAACTGGCACCCAATGGTTAATAATGTACAACTCCAATAAATTCAAGATATTGCGTGACCATCTCCTATTGTCTGCCGTAGTTACCTGTCTCACACCCAACATGTTGGAACCCTACTGGTCACCGCTTCTGTAGGAATTGAATCTAAGGATTGCCCCGATCTAGAATTTAGATATTTTCTTAGTCTTAAAGAAATAATTATTACAAATTAAATGGAAAATTGGACCATTGAATTGCAGTTTACTGAACTAAACATTAGGTGCACTTTAGATTGGTTGGGCTCTATCTGGAAATGGGGTCATCGCTGAGCACTACTGGAAATTCAGGAACTAGGGCAAAATAGCTGTCCAGTAGCCCAAGTTTTTCCAACTGATATCAATCCACCACGAAAAGCGCTAACATATACACAAACTAAATTCACGTGATATTGTTTGTTTGTATCTTCCCATTCTTATCTCGGACTGCAATTGATCAGTCTATTGTTGGGATATGTGCCCTGGATTCCACTGCTAGCCACTATCCATCTTTGATTATATAGAGACTAGTTAAGAATGATTTTGCACAAAACGAGATTAGCAGGAAATATTACATCTATTCTATTCTAAGACTTTTCTCATCGATTTTGAAGTGTTAGGTTTTACATTGAACGAAAACTTGACATAGTTTAACTGCTGAAATTAAAACAAAACGTGCGAAACACAAAAATTGACATGACATACATACATATGAAATTTGAAATAACGAGTTTTAAGTCTTAAAGTAGAACTTTATCCACAGCACAAATTTTTACAAGCAACAAATGGTCGGTCATTTTTACCAAATTTAATTCTGTCTATTACTTCAGTTTACCTTTGCATTACAAAAGAATGCAAATTTACCGAAAAGAAAGTTTATATAATTAGTAATTAAACAGTATTTTTCAACTCGACAAGGATAGGATTCTAACCCACGTGGGGAAACCATTTTTGGTGCCCAGTATCTGACCCCAGTTTGATTGTACGAATGATGTTATCGAAATATACTTCTCAGATAACCTCATACAGATTTATAAACTTAATTCACCTTAGAGAAAAATAGGGTAAAATAAGTTAAGTATGAAAATGAATTTCAAATACGTATATTTCGTAAACTCGTTCACTTGGTCGAAATGAAGAGCAAGTAGTCAAAGCCAAGTGGAGAAGAAGATTGAGCTAACTCGATTTTATCAAGCTTGATTGGGCATTTATAATCAGACAAAAACAATTTACAGACATGTAATGAATGGGATAAGCAATGCACATGCATACGCTCATTTAAAGATAGTCAAGGTTAATAAGCGAATAATTGATGAAGTAAAAATGTAGCTCAAAAAGAAGGAATGAATCGGTCTGTCCGGAAGCTAGAATAACCTTGTGGGCTTGACATAGTATCAGACCCTACACCCTATTGGATTAGCAATCTGTCGCCTCAACTACGAATTATAACTACTTAAACTAGTAATTAAGTAGTAGGAAATTCATACTGCTAGTTTTTTTTAAAATATACATATGTATATGAACATAGTTATTTGAAGATAGACGCACAAAACACAAAAGGAGGAGAGGAAACACTTATCTAGAGTTTGAAAATTGTTATGTTGGATTGCGTAGTAATTATAAATTTGAGGCGCCTACATTGAGTGAGTGAAAATTACAGATGAACAAAAAGATAATGTTAAAGTGGACGAAATAACATTTAGCTAAGCGAGGGTTACATAAACAAATATAGAAAATAATAATTAAAGAAAACTTAGTCAAAATCCTGAATTTGCCATAGTAGTGATAAACTGACACTTTGTAAATTAGTAATTGGAGGTAGTGGACAGGAGACTTTAAACCGAAAAGCTCAAAACACAGGTTCAGGGCGTCCTATCGACAATTTTTCAACTAGCATCTCACATTTCAATATAGTCCAGTCTATGCTGAGTCAGTTAAACTAGTGGCCATATTTTAACCTGATCGATAGAATTTGATCAGCACTAAAGAATGACTTGGGATACATGATATTCATCAACAATCAGTGATTAGTCAATTGTAAATAAAATCTCACAAAACCCCTTCTGATAATAATCATCTGCTCACTAGTGACTGACTTCAAGAGACACTCCTGGAGTTCTAATGAGAAGCCGTGACCAGTGGAGTTCAACCAGGTCTGTTGTAAGATATCAGCTCACTGAAGACAATGCTGTACGGTGGCGCAACTTCGTGGATTGGTTGAAGTTAGACATTAACACCGTTGGATGCCGGCTCAGTGGTCTAGTTGTTAAGTGCTCGCGCGCGAGACTGATAGGTCCTGTGTTCGAATCTCGCGGGTGGCGGGATCGTGGATGCGTACTGCTGAGGAGTCCCATACTAGGACGAAACAACCACCCACTTCTTCAAGGTTTCCCTGGTGGTCTAGCTTCAATTGACTCATGATTTCAACTAGTGAAATTGTAATGAATTCGGTAACAAAACGTACCACAGCAATAAACGGTGTAAAAGTTTGGCATCCAATCGATAGCTGTCTTTATTGTTATGATTACATTTTCACCAATTATTATTGTTTGTTTTTTGTCATACAACTGTCACTTGGATAAATATTATTCTATTCGCATTAATATTATCTTCTTACTTATTTGTGATTTTCATTATCTCAATTATTAAACTTGTGTAAACTCATCAAATCTATAATTATTACGTAGCCATCCTAACAATTTTCTTACTCTAGATAATTACTGCCTTCCGCTCTCTGTGTTTCTGTCTATCCCCCGAACAATATATATATATATATATATATATATATATATATATATATATATATATATATATATATATATATATATATATATATATATATATATATATATATATAGTATTCATAAACATTGTCATTTTAACCTTTCTAGTCATCAATATATATTATTTAATATTATGTTGTATATCAGTGTTAATACGACTGTAAGCGGCTGCTGAGGAACTGCGATATTAATATGAATCCATTTTATTGTGGATCAAAAGTCGTTTTTATCCAAACAATAGAAATGTTTACGTAATCAGATGATATCAAGAATACCATCGTGTTTTAATATCACAGTTTTATTTATCTTTTTTGTTTATGAATTATTAACCCATTAAACAAATAACAATGTAAGTCACGGGTTCGGGTATACACACATACCGTTAGTTTTGTGACTTTAAGCCCGGGTAGTTACCAATGATTTATTCGCCAATCAAAATACGACCTATACAATTTTAGTATTTTGCCAAACCAATGACATCCGACTGGTATGAGCAGTCTTGCGTCCTTTATCGGTCCTTTTTCCTTCCAGCCCTGCCTGTTGAGTCCAGAACACCAATCTCAGCTTCTGCTATATGAATCATATATTTCAAACATACTGGGTTTATATACAAACCATTAGTAGTTCACAGAAGCTACCCGTAATTTAATCTTCACTAGGATATAACAGTTAGTATATAGGTGTCTGATTTGTGGCGAAGTTGATGGAGTTGCTGACCCTATACCTAACCCCATGCCAGTTTACAGGCATGATCAGCTTGATATAAATAGTAACATCAAATGTAGAGAACAAACGTGATATAAGATTGTTTTAAGTTTACTAGTTCAAAAATTGTTTAGGTAGCATATTTATGACATGCATTACAGCAATGCAATACACCGGCCGGAAACTTTTATTTCTTCTTAAGTGACATCTTGTTGATTTATGAACAATGTATTTAAGGTCATTTCCTGTGCCATAAGGAATTAATTATAATCGTCTACTACTATAATGCATGTATCATGTGACTCAGTGACATAATGTTCATGTTAAAAACTATTCAAATTAGTTAGGGTTGCCAGGGGGGGGGGTTACTTAGAGAATTCAGTAACAAGAATGGCTAAAACATTTAAAGTTTCTATAACCTCACTTGTGCAATAAGATACACTTAAGGGTGCTAGAACATTTAATGCATTTTCACAGGAGCCGCATGCATCAATGTAGCGAACAAATGAATGGCAGTGATTTTATCTTACATATAGATTGTGGTAAATCCTCCTGTAGCTCTCCTAGAGTTACCACCGGTCCCAAGCCGGGTAAAGGAGGAGGGTTGGACATGGGGTCGGCAACTAATAACCGGCTATTAGTGAAACTATCTATGAAAAAGACGGGACTATTATTCACTCCCAATCCACAAAACTGAGATTTGAAAGAAAGGTGGTCCAGTTTTAGTAGCCCGACTGAAATTTTTGCGAAAATCCGGGAAATTGACGTACTACCATTTAAATAGACTCAATCGTAGATCCTCCCAGCTTCTAATAAAGGAAAAACATCCTATTGTGACAGTCACAGAGATATCAGATTGACTGAAGCAGTGTCTAGAATACTAGCCTCAAAAATAATTCGACATCTAAAAAGAGCTCGTGAACAGATGACCAGGCTGATTTCAGACCTGGACGTGGGTACACAGACCAAATATTCAACCTTCGGCAGATGCTAAAACATAAACATATTTTTCGACGTCTTCTGACTACATTAAGCAACAATACAAGCAATTTGAGATGCCATTATCCCCATCCAAATGTAAAATGTCGATTCATAGTTAATTTGTGTCGGTGTCCAAATTATTCATACAGAGTGAAGTAGTTGAACACATCGACCACTTCACTTATCTTGATAGTCTCATCAGTACTGATACTCACTCTTGTGTGCGACGAAATCTCGAAACAAATTTAGAAGGCTTAATTGGCTCTGCAAATTTGCGTCAGTTGTGGTATAGACGATATCCGTCTTACAATCAAACAGCGAGTTTACACAGCAGCAAATCGTTCCGTACAACTTAATGGGTACGCAACATGACCATTAAGAGTAGAGGATATTCGTAGGTTACTGGCATTCGGTCATAGATGTCTACGAAGCACTCCTCGTATATTTTAGGACAAGTGAAAGCAAACCCTCGGTTAAGAATACGGTACTAGGTAAGCATGGCAAACCGTTTGATGACGTAATAAATCACCATCAAACGAAGTGGTCGGGATATGTATCACATATGCTCAACCACCGCCTATCTCTACGGGTGAAGTTTTCTGGTGTACGAGTAGGTTGGAAGAAAAACTACGGGCGGCAAAACAAAACACATACAAACAGTCCACAAAGTCATTGATAATTCGACTGAAACATTTCAATACGTCTACACTATCTGGTTGGGATACACGTGATTATCGTAACCAGTGGTTCGACACTTTCAATCACATGGCTCAAAATCGCTTGCAATGGCTCAGGTGCATCTATTCTGTCTTCTCACAAATTCTCAGCTTCTCAATTTCTTACAACCTTTCTCATCTTTCTATTTCACTCATTTGTATTTTCATCTCCAATCATATATTCGATGCCTAATCTTTCCTATCACCAATCATACTGTTGCTACATCTACAATTATCGGATTTCACCTGACAACTTCATCTCTCTAAATAAATGGGGTATGGAAACTTTAACTAATGTGCATAAGTGCATGTTCTACATTGTGACTGACTGATCGTAGATTATTGCGAATTGAGATTGCACAGACCTTAGTCACATGGTCCGCGTCTACTAACAAAACAGTCGACTTAATGAAATGATACAACAATATATGTAGTTCACCATTACCTATCTTCCAACCCACAACTATGCCATATAGCATCGCATGTGGAGGTAGAGGATGTGCAGGTATACGTAAAACAAATCCTTACCAGTTCAGATAATTAAAACATGCTAACTTATCAATCGATTTGTCATTCTTTCCGGACATAACTGCCAACCTAACATGGTAGTCAAGTTTAACTATAGAAATGATTTAATCCACTAATATTCATTGCATCACTTCTATCATATCACCACATCACAAACCAGATCGATTGCACAGTCGTTACTACAAAACTAACAAACTCAAAGTTATACAGTCATACTCTATCATCAACTGTACTCAGGTATGACGCCACTAAGCTGTTCTCCTCACTCAACCAACCAATATGCCCATTCACTTTCCCTCACAAACAAATAAAAGTGAGTTAGAGAACGTCAATGCCAAAAATAGCACATCTCACATCGCTTCATAGATTCTCCTCATCCCCAACACCAGTCGTAGTGATGAGGCCTTTACAGTACACAGCTAACACATTTCAAACTGTTGACAAGGAGATTGTGTGTGATTGCAATCAAGCAGTCGTCACTTCGACATGGGATCTGAATTCATCAAGACCACTTTAGAGCAAGGCAAGAAGAACTATCCTTCCGTAACACGAACAACTAGGAAGTCACAATCACCTTGACACTTCTAACAAAAACAGCTTTTACAAAAGTAGATAAACACAAATACACATCTTGGAGGGACTGCAAACTAATCACTTACACATAATAGTCATCAATGTTACCTAATCATTGATAAAATAAAACATATTTCCGAAGAAAAAAACACTTCACAATTGAACAACTCATTCCCTTGTATATATATATATATATATATATATATATATATATATATATATAGGGAGAGAGAGAGAGAGAAAACCAATTCGTGCTACATATGAACATATAAGTAGCACTCAAACCATTGATCATAATGATAGTAAATGTATTGAAAATATTCACAAACTAATTATTATTATTATTGATTTCTCGCAACTCTTTTCTTCAAATATCGCTTATGAAAGGTTAAAAAAGAAAATTATGATTACTTTTTTTAATACTAAAGAAAGATTATATAACGTTATATAATATATATGTATAGATGTATATAGATATATATATATATATAATGAATGGATTTACACAATACAATACACAGTAAATTTTAATGTTCGGAAGAGGGCACAGAGAGAGAAAAGACAAAATGCAGTCCTCCAGATTCATTTCATTCATACTGTAGGTGACTGGATTCATGTTGGTTAGTTTATTTAGTTAGTGGGTAAGTGGACGTTTTAGTTAGCTATTAGCTGACTGAAAGGAGAAAAATCAACAACAAAGTATTTTTGTTTGTTGTTTCATTTTATTTCTAAATAGAAAATTTTTTATTTGACATCACAAATCATAGAAGAATTCACAGAAGAAAAGAGATAGAAAGTGGGGTAACAAACAGAAGTGTGAGAAGGGGACTGAAGTGACCGAAACACAAAGTGGGAAAATGGCATTATAGCCGTGCAACACACACACATCATGAAGAATCGACACAATTCATTTTCGGTGAGAGTCTGTGTTATTGCAGTAAATATTGGGATCAACAACAACATCATTATTCATAGAAATAGTAGTTATAGTATCGTTATTATTATTAATACTGTTAGTAGTAGTAATAGTAGTAGAGTTAGCGGTACCGCAATTATTCACTGTTAAATTAGTTCGGAAATCAAAAGTTTCAGTTTTACAACAATTTACATTATCATTATCACCACCACTGTCGACAACAGATCCATTCATTTGTTTTCTGCTTTCAATAATTAAAGAGTCACCTGAGAATGTAGTAACAGGAAGTTTATCAATTAATGATGTATTATTCATACAACTATTATTCGATGGGATTTTTTTGTCATCTACAGAATTATCATGATCGTCAATGCTGTTATCAACTGGTTTATTCAAATGCTCATTAGTAGGAAGTGATGAATCGGTTTCTTTAACTATCAAATTATTATTATCAGTTGAATTATTCAGTATTGTTTGTTGATGATGGTCGATGTCGGAACATGTTGGTGTTGTTGACATTATGTTTGTTGACTGTTGTTGTCGTTGTGATTGTTTTTTGAACACTTCTACTTTATCTACATGTTTATGACTTGGAGTAATCGTAGATGACTCTTGTGAGATTTGATTAACACCCATCACTGTCTCTGCAGTACAACAGTTATTACTGAGGACTGTGTTAAGAGTTCTGCTATAGCGGAAGGAGTTGGGATCGGTGGAATTGTTGAAATGTTTACATTATTATCTAATTGATCAAGATCTGGAAGTAAACGATGTAGCGCACCGCATAAAAGATGCGCAACAGTAGCATCTAATACACGTGAAGTTACTAGATCCATTAAACGTAGCTCCAAATCCGGTGTAAAAGCTAATCGACCTTTAGAATCGACAGCTAGTCTACCAAGTAGTGCACCTGCACGACGAACCATTTCTAAACTTGTTCCCATTAATTCTGGTCTTTCTTGTAGAGCTTGTACACCATATTGATCAATAACTCGCCTAGTTGTTGCTTCAGCCGCTTCAATAAATGACAATAATCCAGAGATAGGACAAGGTTTAGCATCAGCAAGCATAGTCGTACCAACAAATGTCCCTGAGGATGAATTTGTTTCATTAGTAGTAACTTTTCCAATATTTGAAGATAGAGAAGAGATAGAAAATGTAGCACCCCCACCAGCAAGATAATGCATTGTAGATAAAGCTAATTCACGTGTCACTTGATCTTCTGGTACAGCAAGCCAAGTAGCAAGTCTATCAAATAATCTACTAAGAACTTTTTCATCAGAAGGTGTTGACAATAGCAGATCAACATTTGTTTCATGTACACAAAGACGATTTAAAGCTTCAAGAGCTAAACGACGAGGACTAAGAGTTCGATGTCCTGGGAAAGGATCAACTGAAGCTGATGTTGAACATGTTATCCAATGTAAAGACCTTCTAGAATAGGACGTACTATTGACTCATCAAACTGAATTAGTTCTAAATAACCAGCAACATTGACTAATAATACCATAGCATTTTCTCGCATATCTTCTAACCATGTAGGTGTCCACCAAGCACAAAAACTAGGCTCTAATGCATGAGCTTTTCTTCTACAACCTTCCATGTATCCTTTTCACCAACATGTTCATGTCCAAATAATATAAGTCGTCCAATTAAAGCCAAAACACCTTTTTGTTTGCTTAATTGACGTTCAACTGTATTCATAAATGAAAGATTACGTAGAACAGTTGAAACACATAAACAACGAACAGCACGAGCTTCATAACTATTAGCTTCATTATGATTTGGCCATAGACATACAGAACCATGATGAACTAATTCTTCACGAGCACGAAGTGGACAACGACCATTTTCATCAATTAATTGAGAAAATTCTAACTCATCATCATTATCACAAATAGAACCAGTTGCAACACAATTATCACTAGTTACATTATTTGATTCTAAGAGTTTATTGTTATTGTCAATATCGTCTGATATATCACATACAGGTTGAGGTGATAATGTAGGACAAGGAAGAGATGAAGAAGATGAATGACGTATACGTTTATTAGACGGTGACTGTTCACTATCCTCATCCTCATCATCTTCAGATTCATTACTTTTAATCATCAATTCACTATTTAACTCATTACTTGAAACAGATTGTTTTATTAATGAAGAAGAACAGGACAAAGAAGATAGTCCACTAATTACTACTTTTGATACTGGAGATGACGCTGTGGAACATTCTGTTAATTTAGGCAAATAATCATTATCAGAATACAATGCATTATTATTCTCTTGATTATTCATCCAATGTGAACTTTGAAATGCATAAGCACCGAATGGTGGCATAATATGACATGTCGTATCACCACCACCTTTCTCAATTAATTGTCGTAACAGCATACCAGAAGATTTTACCAAACACGATGATGATTTCACCAGATTTGACTGATGATCATCATTGCCAATTTTAACATCATTACTACCCATTTTAAATAATGATCCACGATTATCATCATTACCAGTTGATGATTCAAGCAAAGTGTCAATTACATAAAGCGCTAAATCTCTTAAGTTTGAACAAGCTTCTGGTGTTCGCAAACTATCTACAACAGATGTTACATGTGGAGATGACCAGATCATTTTACTGCCACCACAACCACTAACATTCCCGCTGTTGTTGTAATCAGATTTAACTAGATTAGCTGTTGAAATGTTTATATTAGGAAGTGTGTACATATGTTGTTGTTCATTAGTTGTTATATGACTACTAACAGATGTTGGAATAAAATGTGATGGTGTTGACGATGACGTGCACATCGAAGCAGATATTTGTTTACCGCGTTTCCTAGATCGATGATAACTTGCAGATGGTCCTATAGAATTTGCATTTGTGTCAATAAATCGATGTGAAGAATTGCAAGTTGTTGATGTGGATGTGGTTGTCAATGAATTGACTGGTATTAAATTAGATAAATTTTCCAATCGTAACATTAAACCATTACGTAAACGAACAGGCGTATTAATAGATTTCGAATCATTACATTTATTCAGCAGGCGACGTAAACCAGCACGTACAGCAGACAATGGTACATTTTTACTAGCAGCAATTCGACTTATTTCACGTTCTAATCGAATTAAACTATTATCGTTATTACTATTATGATTATAAGATGAATCAGTAAGATATGATTTACTTTTCATAACATCAACACATGTCATATTGACAGTATTGAAGTTAAGTGAATAGTTATGATGAGGTGTACTTTTCAGCATTAAATTCTGTTTTGCCTCCGTGCACGATGACAACGAAGATATGAAGGATAAGTCAGTAGGTAGTTCCAAACTGGTAATAAATAACTTATGATCAAATAATTCACCTAATGTATGACGCCATAGATCGACTAAACTGGTAAGCAATCCAGGTAATGCACTCGGAACAATAAAATCTATTCCATTTTCATCTCTTAATAAAATATTTAAACAGTTTAATGCCCAAGAAACTTCAGCTGTTAATCCTGATCGAAGAGCCATCAATAATTTGAATGGTGCAATAGAACCTATATGTTAAAGAAAATGAACAAAAAGCCAAACAGAGGGATGATCAGATATATGAAGTTATGAAAATACGATCAATAAATACAGATACATACACATAACCAAATTTATGACCGAGTATATAACAGGGATACACAATCGGATCCTAGGCTTCCACACGAAGCTCTCTGACTTGGAATTTGTTATAAGCTAGGTGTACTGTATTTAGTATTCCGACAACATATAAAAATGTCACAAAAGTTGATACTCTGATGTGAAAGTCAGGCTTGACTAATAGAGATGATTTAATCCACTAATATTCATTGCATCACTTCTATCATATCACCACATCACAAACCAGATCGATTGCACAGTCGTTACTACAAAACTAACAAACTCAAAGTTATACAGTCATACTCTATCATCAACTGTACTCAGGTATGACGCCACTAAGCTGTTCTCCTCACTCAACCAACCAATATGCCCATTCACTTTCCCTCACAAACAAATAAAAGTGAGTTAGAGAACGTCAATGCCAAAAATAGCACATCTCACATCGCTTCATAGATTCTCCTCATCCCCAACACTAGTCGTAGTGATGAGGCCTTTACAGTACACAGCTAACACATTTCAAACTGTTGACAAGGAGATTGTGTGTGATTGCAATCAAGCAGTCGTCACTTCGACATGGGACCTGAGTTCATCGAGAAATATCCTTCCACAATGTGAACAATTAGAAAGTCACAATCCCCGTTATACCTCAAACATTGCTTGAGACCATAGCGTTCACAACTAATAAACCTAAACTAGTGTCCTATACTTTATCAAAACTCGCAATAATGTCTAAATATACATAAGTATATTTCATAAATATCAAACATCTTCACGATAAAATCTATTTAAATGAACGACGATTTAAGCAATGTGGCTTGGAGAAGCCAAAATTATAACATTATTTAAATCTTTATCGACAAACACTTAGTCAAACAATATTGTACTGTAAATTTAGTTTGGTACAGAATAAAACTAACTTCTATTCCACCTGATGATCATAAAAATTAAAATAAGATTAATTTTACAATGAACAAGTAATCAACGTAACAATGTGTTACATTAAGCTAACTACAATCTAATTTACGATAACTATTACGAAATATAAAATGAAAAACATAATTATATGCTCAAAAATTACGTATACTTGAGACATTTGTATTTCTATGTGTGTGTTTATATGTTGAAATTAGGATAAACAAAGAAAACTTATGCAAATGGAACATCAATCCAATTAATATTTTCATATTTTTAGGTAAAGAAACGGGAAATCAATCACAGAACAAAATTAGCCATAAACATTTGTACACAAAATAACCTATGCTTATTGATAGATAAACCTATGAAGTAGGTGTGTGTATGGAAGAGAAAAAATGATTAATACATTCGTGTAACTATACACACATTACGAATTTAGTGACAACTGTATACTACGAACAGATGATTGTTGACTGAAAAATATTAGCCATTGTAGAAGGCTATTCAGCCAAATTGAACATAACACATTTGACATTGCTGCTATGCGATTGTAAGCGGTGAATTATTTTGTATAAAAAAAGTCGAAGGTGTATTCCGTGAAATTCAACAAAAGCTACGCATGTATATATGGTGCTATCATTCATGATCAGCATAGCCTGGGATAAATGTGCATCGGTTCAAACTGTCATGCCATATTAGCACGATAAGAGGAAGTTAACAAGATAAATCGCAAAAGAGATTGAAATAATGTAGTATGAATGAAAATGAGAAAGAATAGGTATTCAGAATGTGATTCAAAAGGACAGAGTGGAAAGGTATGTTATGAAGAAATAACGGAACTCAATATCTAGGGGAAGAGAAAAAGTGAATTCACCTGTATTTTTTAACCATGTCATCCACCATTCCCAACCACTGACCGCAGTTACCACGTGGACACTAGTTATATACGGTATGGCTAGATTTCCGATGGCTTCAAATTAATCGAAATGAAAATTGTAAGACAAGTCCCTTAAATGTACCAACCCCTATCCTATTTAAATTGCTTGGACACTCAATTAGCTTGACTTAAACCTAAACTATATTAAACACTAACTGAAGGAAACGAGTTACCTAATTTAATCTTAAGAATCGTTATTAATTATGACTAGTAAATGAGTCGAGATTAAAAGTTAAAGAATGAGATTTTTCACATACCTAAATCTTTTGCCCGATATCGTCGACGTCGGGGTGAATCAACAGGTGTAGCTTCAATACTACCTGGAGGAAAAGCACAATGATCCAAGCGTTTGAGAATGGTGGTAACGTAACCTGGTCGCTACAAAAACAAGCCAAGAAATAAACATTACAAAAAATATACATGAATACAGAGATACTCAAGTAAAGACTAGTAGTTTACATTCATTTATCAAGCAAATATATACATAAACAACCAAAAATTTAATCAAAACCATTTGGTTTTTTAAATAATTAATAATCAGTGTAACCGATTGGAGATATGTGAATAGGATAACGTATTTTTTTAACGACGGCTGTGTCGAAATCAAAATAAAAGATGATGTTCACATATGAAATACAGTTCTATTTGAGTTAGAATTCTTAAAACTGAACTGTTAATCTAACGCTTCAATGACTGAAACAAATAACAGAGCATAGAATGATGAAACAGTTATGTTGAGCACTGGATTCTACAATACGATGCAACTTTTTATTTGAATGTTGGTACATAATTAGGATCTAAGGGAAGATTAAAGAAAGAAGAATGCATCTATTCCACTGCGACCGATTCTAAGCCATGTGCCTAACGTCTTTCTTAGAAATTAGCCATGATAATCGCACATAAATTAACCAGGTAATTTGCACCTGAAAACATGACTACATTTTGGTTTGGTCATCCCTAATTTTCTTCCACTCTACTCCTAGGTCAATAATCAAGAACGCTCGTCAAGCTAAACGGTGGCTAAACTAGTTTCCATTTATTAACTGTTTATTAAGACTATTTATACATTTTCTCAAAAATTTTCGTTGATTTACGCTGCTATTTAGGGACATAAAATAACGCGGATTATTTAATAAAGTAATGATAATACTCCTAGTTACTACTACTACTGACAAATGAAAATGAAAATTATAAACTCAAATTTATACTGTACGTCATCTGAGAACGATAATTGAAAATAAATTCGAATCAAACTATGAAATAATTCTGATAGAATATGTATTTTTCGGTAATGTCTAACTATTATGTTGTGCAATGACCGATTCTGATGAAAATAAACAAGCTTCTTATACTCAGGCCCGTTTGGCTAACTGGATGGGAAAACTGAGTGACTTTTTGTCTACTTCCTTGTAAAAGGAAGTTTAATCTCAGTCAATAGCGCTTGCTCACCATATTTCCTATGTTTGATAAATCAAATGTATCACTCTCACATCAGAATTTTGAATTACAACAAATAGAAATATTTATTTAGAACACTAGATGAACCACTGAGGTTACTAGAATTATGCCACATCAGCACACATATATGGATTAGAAACTGCTCCATGACTTTCTTACACTTATTATCACCAATCCCATCATCTGATCCATATATACATCTGAATAGTCGGGATTTTTTTCTACTGAGGTTGCTGGCTCTACGCTCAACTTTCTTCATTTACCAGAGCTTAAAACCGACAGTGACATTAGAGGGGCTCCAAGTGTAGTTTTTAATTTGTGCATAGATACTACAACTGTATTAAGCACAATGATTCATAGAATGTCCAAAATAAATATTTTTATTTCTAACTGTAAAGTATGTGGCATGAGAAATAGCCGAAAATATATGATTGCTTGCAGTGCTTTCTCATTACATCTCATAATAGAGATGTGCTTAAACTAAACTATAAAGTTATTTCCAGTTTAAAAAAGAAACAAGAAAATTGTGATTACAGAGCTTCGCTTCGATCTAGCACGCAATTAACAGTAGTACAAACCCGTTAAATTGAAATACAGATATATGCTCGAAAATTTTAAATAGTTGAAAGCAAAGAATTATTTGCAAGGAAGTAGTGTAGAAGGAAAAATAACAAAATAGTATTAGAGCATCAAGTATACCATTGTTAATTAAAATGCTAGTTATCCACTCCTTACTTGATTATGATGGTGATGATGAATAAAATGAGGTGGCATAGGAGAGGCATGATCCAAGCTGCCATTATTGTTGATACTATTATTATTAGTAGTACTTGTACATAGTGAAGTAGTAGTACCACCGGGAATATATGGGGCCATTTGGGGAGCCCCAGGACGTATTTGATGCATACGAAACAATGCAATCGATTCCCCACTAACACCACTCGGTGGAGTAACCGAATTGAAAGACGGTGTACGGAAATTATGATTGCTCGGATGACGTGGATGGATTGGAGATTGAGCTCCTGTAAATGAGTGTTCCATAGTTTGTGGAGGACCGTGATGCTGGTTGAGCATAGGATGCAATGGATTTGAAGCAAACGGAGGACCTTGAGTCAAATATGGATTGAAATTATGTTGTGTCATAGGTTCCCCATTCGCCATAGAACCTGACGCACAGGTAGAATAAGGCATACCAACGTACACCGTTGATGAAGGTGGGATATTGTTATTAGGTGGTAGATTCCCAGATCCTATACGACCTGGAATAAGATTATTAAAATTACATATATATTAACTAGAAAACGAGCAAACAATAATTTACATATGCTAATTATAACAAAAGAAACAATAGTATTCGTCATGTTTCGATTAAGTTATCTAAAACACATTTTTCTACAATTTAGGTAGATGGTAAATATAACTGACAATCTTCAAGATGTATCTTATCGTATCGCATCCAAAGGCCGATGTACATAAATACTTAGACTTAATTTTACAGACCTTTGGGAAAATATTGTGGTGAATAATTAGAAACTCCCTGGCAGAAATCAAATATATGGATCACATGATAGAAACAACAACTAGTCACTAAGTCCCTATCAAACAATGTTATTCCATTTATTTGTCGGTGCTAAGCAAATAATTCTATCCAAAGAGAGTAAATACTGTTAATATTTGTGAATTCGACTTTGAACAACACTTTGTGTGTGCATGAGGGCTGATGGTTAGATTAGGCTATTTAATCCAAATTAAAGTAGGTGGAACGGGACTTGAACTTGCGGAAGTCTGACACATTATCCACTAAGTTATCGCTTCACAATAACGGTAACTAGCACACATGATGGTTGCCTAGCCGGATAAGGAACGATGTGGAGCTCGAACATACGACCATGAAACTAGGAGCCTCATCCCTTATTGAAAAAGTTAGCCGTTCTGTGGTCATTAGCAGGTGCAACTTATCTGTTAATCCCATCAGAAAAAAACAATTCCGTAAAATTTCCTGCTATAATTAGAGAATTCAGATTATTTAAACAACTTTCTCTACATACAATACTTGACAAACTAATGAAACTCATAAGTGTATCATGTTTGGAACAAAAAATATATATCAAAGTGAAACTTGAAATTTTGGTACTTACTTTGAGCATATTGCGATGAGGTAGTTTCACGATTCGTTAATATAAGACCTTGTCCTGTTGTTGTTTCTGATGCTGACGGTAGTTGTCGATAATTGATAGAGTCAGAGTTCTTATTTTCAGAAGTCCATGGCCATGGACAACAATTACTATCTGAAGACAGAGATGTACTCGGATAGCCACTAATTACAGCACATGAAGAAGGACGTTGTGGTGAAGCAACATTAGGAGTGGGACCTGAAGATGGTGGTAGGTACGAAGTATTACTTTGTCCTGACAATCCAGGTGGACTAGGCATGCTTGGGATAGCACTGGGGCTTTCTGGGACAGTAGAAACACTTCCTGGTTGACCCTGATCACTGAAACGTTGTTGTTGAGATGAAGGAGGTCCAAGTTGACTATCGCTTGCTGCACTTCCAGCAGTTCCACTTGGTCCACCAGACAGTGAAGCCCCACTGCTACCGGGAGGTAAAAGGCTGGATGATGCAGAAGAATGACTTCCAGTTGGTGATGGGGGAGCAGGAGCTAAACCACTAGAAATACTATTGGGATCACTATCAACTGAAGAACACTTCTTCTTTTTTCCTGACAAATTTTCGATATGAGCAAGTAGTGGACGAGGATCAATACCACCGCGATCGAAACGACATTCATACTCGAGCAAGAATTTACAATAGTTTTTGCGTAAAGCATAAGCTGCTGAAGCAGATGCACTGATATTAATTACTTGACTTATTTCTTTCCATCTTCGACCTTTTATTACTTCTGCTACACCACCACGCTCTCGAACAGCTACATATAGTCGATAAAGATCCAGTGGTTGTTTGACCACTTGTGGAAGACCAGCAACAGGTTTTCCAATACCGTCCATAAAACGTATATAATGTTCAAGCCACGGACGCCGTTCAGGTTCTGTTCCCATTTCAATAAGTTTATGAAAACCACTAAGACTTTGACTAGATATATTATTCAAAAGTTGATTTGATCCAACATCTGAGTGTGTTCCATCAGTAGAATACAATGAATTTTGATTATTGGCAGAATTGGCAGTATTTTGTGATTGTTGTAGTGGAATCTGTGAGTTCGAAGGTGAATGATACTGTTGCTGATAGCCCTGAAATGGAGTGAAACTTTGTAAAATGTCACTACCGACATTATTCAGAGTATTACCACTTTGAGATCCAAGTGGACTAGGTCCTAATCCCGGAGGATAATTTCCTAATCCTGAAAATTGCTGAAGTTGAGGATTATTGGACTGTGAACCTAAGCGATGTTGGTATTGTTGTGGAACATGTACAGAGTTAAGTTCACTAGGTGTCATACCAGCTTGATTAACATTAATTTGAGATGGTGGAATCGAAGTAGGACAGCCAGGATTAACCGGACGAGTTGATGAATCAAGCTTATCATAAAAAATATATAATGAGTGAACAGAGTTAATTTAGTAATATTCGTCTGTTAAACAATAAAACATGATATAGTCAACTGATGATCTGTTTAACCATTATGTACCCAGGTAATCGTTGACACAAAATTGTAAACGTCTGCAAATAACATGAGCACTCTAGATTTATAAGTGTCTGACTACATAATGATAACACAATTGTAGCTGTTTAAACTATGGCCTTAACGAAGGATAGATAAGATTAAAGAATCAAATTCTCAACGGTTACAATTTTTCTAAAAGCGCCACACTACTGCATAGAATATTTAAGTAGGCAAACGAACATCACTGAATACATGTAGATTTATAAATATTGTTTTAAATGTTTTTCAGTTGGGGGTTGCGGATATAGCTCAATTTCACGGAAATCATAAACTATTCAGCGTTAGACCACCACTGAAAACCTGGAAACACAGTACTTTCAGATTGAACTTCAATGGGTTCATGATTTCAATTAAATGTTTATCAAATTTTTAGGTAATCCAACAAGCTGGGGTATATAATCACTTATTGACAGTAAGGAAAATAAAGTAGTTATGTAGCTCAGCAATCAAATATATAAGTTCATGTACTCTGTATTTCAGTCAGTCAGTAACAACGTAGAACTTCGTACGTACGTACATCAGTCCGAGTTGCCATACCACATTAGCACAGAGATGCAGTTGTCGATTCAAATCCCGTAGTGGTAGAGGCGGTAAGAGTATAAGCAGTAATCAGAAAGATTAGGGTTTGAAGATGTTATTTAAAGAGTATAATCCATTGAAATAAATTTCGAAAGAGAAAAAAAGAGACAAGGAGGATTCAGGAGATTAGAATTTGGGAGAACACAAAGAATGGATGCACCTGCGCCATTGCAAACGATTTGAGCCATGTCATTCAGGGTCTCTAACCATCGGTTGCTGTCATCTCGCGGTCCCCAACCAGGTAGTCTACACCTACCAGCATGGCTCAGTCCACTTGTCAGTGACTTCATGGACTTGTGCCATGTTTTGGTCTGGCCGCCCCTAGCCTCCTTCCAAACTACTCCTATACCAATGAACATCGCATGTCGAGGCAGTCGGTGGTTGGGTATACGTAACACATGTCCCAGCCATCACAACTGATGAATTTTCACGTCTTCAATTTATTTGCCATCCTTACCTAGTACCCGTTTCCTAACAACTGTGTTACTTACTCGATGGTCCCAGGATATACGAGCAATGTTTCAAAGACACCTACGATCGAATACTAGTAACCTACGGATATCCTCTACTCTTACCGGCCATGTTTCACTGCCATAAAATAGGACGGAACGAACTGCTGCGCAGTAAACACGTCCTTTGGTTGATACACGGATATCTCGCCTACGCCATAAATGACGCAAGTTGGTAAAAGCTAGTCGAGCCTTCTGTATCCGTGCTGAGATTTCGTCACACACCAGACCATAAGGGCTAATGAGACTTCCAAGATAAGTGAAGCGATCGACACGCTCAATTACTTCATTCCATATCATTAGTTCGGGTGTCGATGGCACCCAATACTGAAGCGACATTTTGCATTTCGAGGGGGGATCGTATTCCGAGCATGCTAGCATTGTTGCTTAGAGTGATCAGAAGACTCTGCATTTTGTCAGCGTCTTCACCAAATAGAAGTATGTCATCGGCATATTGTAGGTCAGAAAGTGAATCTCCCGATAAAAGTTCAACCCCTGGAAATCTAGAGGAGGAAAGTGCCATCTCTAAAAGCACGTCAACGACAAAGTTAAACAAGAATGGAGAGTGGACAGTGACCGTTGAGAACAATTTGCTAGTTGGTAAACTGATAATTAACAAAAGCTAATAGAAAATGGCTGCCTATGTATTAAACAAGCTAATTTTTAGTGAATAAATACGAAAAAGAAACCGGTGAAATAAGCATAAAGTGTATATATAAATAAATTATATGATATAGTTAGAAATATACATTTGCCCCCACATTAGGTACAATAAGTGTATAAAATCCACTCTCCTCGAAATGCTTTCATATGGTTATGAATTTATAGATACTGTTATGGTCGGCGGCCTATGCTCCATTGGGAGTAACAGGCGTAAGTAAGTGACAATGATCAAAGAAAATACACTCCCTCTTCAGTTAGCCACCTACCTAATAATCGATAGTATTCTAATTAGTAAACCATATATATACACACACATTCATATATATCCATACTTTAGCATCATAACAGTAGAAACACAACAGAAACATCTGCGATTGGGAAATAAGACAAATTGAAATTTCAAACAATCTATAGATCATGTGTACATACTTTGCCCATTTTTCCTCCAGCAATAAGATTAGGTTTAGAAACACCATTATTATTCATCACAGATGATGGTCGAATAATTCCAGGTGATCCAACACCACCACTGTTTGTAGGAAAACCACCTGATGTGACAATATTCTCATTCGACGAAGAAGACACTAAAAATGAATAGATATAAAATACTTTATACATCAAATATAAGAAATATTTTAGTGTGTAAAAGTGAATAGTGATATATATATATATATATATATATATATATATATATATATAAATCGTTCCGTACAACTTAATGGGTACGCAACATGACCATTAAGAGTAGAGGATATTCGTAGGTTACTGGCATTCGGTCATAGATGTCTACGAAGCACTCCTCGTATATTTTAGGACAAGTGATAAGCAAACCCTCGGTTAAGAATACGGTACTAGGTAAGCATGGCAAACCGTTTGATGACGTAATAAATCACCATCAAACGAAGTGGTCGGGATATGTATCACATATGCTCAACCACCGCCTATCTCTACGGGTGAAGTTTTCTGGTGTACGAGTAGGTTGGAAGAAAACTACGGGCGGCAAAACAAAACACATACAAACAGTCCACAAAGTCATTGATAATTCGACTGAAACATTTCAATACGTCTACACTATCTGGTTGGGATACACGTGATTATCGTAACCAGTGGTTCGACACTTTCAATCACATGGCTCAAAATCGCTTGCAATGGCTCAGGTGAATCTATTCTGTCTTCTCACAAATTCTCAGCTTCTCAATTTCTTACAACCTTTCTCATCTTTCCATTTCACTCATTTGTATTTTCCTCTTCAATCATATATTCGATGCCTAATCTTTCCTATCACCAATCATACTGTTACTACATCTACAATTATCGGATTTCACCTGACAACATCTCTCTGTACAAATGGGGTATGCTAACTTGAATTGATGAATAAACGAAACAGGTTCTACGTTGCGATTGACTGACATTGCCAGTAGTCGTTATCAGAGAGAGCAACAGGGATAAAATACGTTTGGCTGCCTTACGTGAAAGTTATTTTTCAATTGTATTTTCCGACTTATTGGCTAAAAAGATTATGATTCTCAAAGAATAAGCCTAACAATCATGTCTTAGTTGACTGGAGAATGAGAAACCCACAAGTTAATTTCTTCCAATCTTCTGTGATATGACTATCATGTTTATTTTTTGTTCATACTCTGTTTATGTACATGTTATTTAATTATATCTGACCAGTGGCATTGTCTTTGACTTGAAATCGTTCGGAGGCCCAAGCCAATAATAAGGTCTCACGAGTAGGCACTACTCAATCAAGCTACATCATTGCGTACATCCGTCGATCAGTGTTATATTCATTGATTTTGACAGTAGAAAATTCCATCTGATCACATTTCTAGAAAAGTTCCTCCATAATAATGGCATCTTTTGGAGGTCAAATCAAATTGTAACGCCAGTTTATGAAGTCACTGACTGAATTGTGTTGGTAGATACAGACTACATAGTCGGGTTCCGCCTGATAACCATAATCGAGTGGTCATAGATTTTGGATGATAATGACAAAGAATCAGTTAGACGACACAGATCTATTCACATTTTATCATACTGTAGATTTTTAGCTTCATTATTCCTTGATACCTTACCTCGCCACATTGTTCCTACGAACCATATTATTCATGTTCAGTCTTTCTCTTCACTATAGCTATTGGATTATTTCGATAACTTCGCTATTCCTCTTGTAAATCTTAGCTTTTCGCGCTAATTCGGTATAGAAATTTGGGACAAAATTCATGTGAAAGGCTCTTTGCTGAGTGTGACTGAATGATTGAATAATGGTATCGTTTTCCCTCTCTTACTAAATAACATTCTTATTCATTTATTAACTGACTGCGGTAACCCTTTCTCCCCTTTCTATTCTTCAATGAATTATTTGTGTTTTTTGTCTGATCCCCTTACTCATACGCCATCTTTGGTTTAAAATAAATGAATAAATTAAGAAACTACCAAATCAGATTTCAGTCTACTGACCATCTTCAAAAAAAAAACCCAGATGTGTTGAGCAGTGGCTTATTAGTAAAGAAAATGACCCACTTTTAACAACTAGGTCGTAGGTTCGACTTCTGTTTTACTTACTTCATTTTGGTAGGCTGACAGTCAGATAGGTACCACTAATCATTTCACATAGTTTGGCTTAAAGTTAAGTACACAAATCTGTACTTATTTAGTTGGCATCACAAAAAGCGAACACAATATTAAATTCCATACGACGTTTTACCCTTCAAATAAAACTACTAATGAGTGTTTGATTTATAAACTCAAACAATAGTTAGTATGCAGTTGTGGAGAATGTAATAATCGATTAAAATCATTAGCCGATCCAAGTTAAAAATTATTGAAAACTTGAAAGCAGTAGATAGCCCGGTTGCGGATTTCCATACTAGGACGAAAATGGCCGTCCAATATCTCCAGGTTTCCAATGATTGTCTAACTTAGATCATTTCGCGGTTGCAATAAAAACAATAATCAAAAATCATAAAGTATGCACTAGTAGAAAATGAAATCATTCTAAAAATAAACAGAAACTACCTGCAGGATGTTGTACATCATGAGGATAATGTACATGAAATCCCTCTCTAGAATTTTGCATATGCTGAGACAATGGTGATGCACTACTATTATTATTATTATTATTACTATTAAGGATTGACGAAGGATAAGGAGATGCAGTAGTATTGCTTGTAGGTGGTGGTACCATGTGCTGAGGATGTTGTGGTTGTTGCTGCAAAATAGGAGGACCACCTCCAGTTGGTCCACCATGTGGATAAGGATGGATGTACTGTGATTGAGGATGAGGATACGGCATTTGAGACTGGGAACACGGATATTGGCCATGATGATTTGAATATGACAGAGATTGATTATTAGGATATGGTCCAGTGGCTGAAGGTTGTGCATGTTGTCCATTATGTTGTATCAAATTTGAAGCATTAGAGACAGGAATCGATGGAGGCGGATAGCCGCCGCCACCGCTAACACCAACTCCTCGGTCTGTTGAGGATCCAAGATAAGGTGGACGGTTAACTGAAAATAGAGTATAAAAGATATTTGATAATACAATCTCAGAAAATGACATTTATTAAGTGGTTTATATATATATATATATATATATATATATATATATATATATATATATATATATATATATTTCCATAACTGTAGTGATTGAAATTGTTTATTATGAACACTTCAATTTCAAAAAGCATGAGTGGGAATTGACAAGATGGATAGCGAAGGAATCAAGATAATATCGTAGTAATGATAGTGAGAAAGACTAAGTATTGAGGATATGGTTCGAGAAGACAAAAAGAAAAATGTGTATGAAGAAAGTTTGAAGTTCAAGATCGACAGGAGGAAAACTGGTAAGTAAATCTAAGCAACTGAGACCGATTCTAAGTCCTATCACTTGGTGTCCATAACTACTGATCGTGACTATCGGGCGAATGCTAAGTAGTCAGCATCTAACTACATGGCCCTAAACGAACAGTCGATGACTGCACAAACTGATAGTGTTTAGGTTTCACCGCATCTAATTTTCTCTTAACCTACTTCCACACCAGCAAACATCGACCGCCAAGGTCGGTAGTGGTTAGACATATGTAGTACATGTCAAGAAAGCGCAGCAGAAGCGATGTTTGAAAAATTGGAATACCAATAAAACAAATGAAACCTAAAACCAGCCTTTGCAAGAACAAACGAATGGGACAACAATTCAATAAGCGACACGGCGCATTGTCGAATGAGTTCAGTGTGGGACAAACGGTAATAGCAAGAGATTTCCATGGAGTAAAGCCGACCTGGAACATTGGTACTATAACCCACAGAAAAGGAAAGGTCATTTATGAAGTAAAAGTCGGAGAAAACATATGGGTGCGACATGCAAACCAACTACAGCCCACCAGACAAGCATGGGAGACTTGAAATGATTTAAAGCCGTATATATCAGTAAATATATTAACCGTATTGGGTAATAAGCCTAAAAAGAACTCGAGTAACAAGAGAAAATGTACAACACCTTCAAGGTGACCGCAGCGTATCCGACGGAAAGCTAATTGAATAAGAATAAATCATTGTGATGTTTATGATTCCTAATGCTTCAAAAAAGGGGAGGTGTTGTATCCGAAAATAAATAAATTATGAGTAACTTCTGGGCACTATTTATAGATTGTTATTACATATATTTATATTTCCTAAATCATAAGCTCTTAATTGACCTATTGGCTATTATTGTACGATTTACCATTCTTGAGTTATTCCCATTCTATTAGCTACAGTCTCTCACACTCACAGACACTTTTAGCTTGGTCTTGTATAATTATTTTTTATTTTGTGTTGTGATGAGATCTGGTTTGTTTGTATATAAATCAAGTATGTCTGCAATAGACTAGGATCACATTGCTTTCTGAACTGGACGGTGGCGATAGGAAGTAAGAATTCAGAGCGGACAAAAGGCTGCTAGTGTTGTTTGACGTGTCGTTGGTTTAGGGCAAGAACAAGGTCATATAAGTCGCTTTTGGGATTGGCGATTTTGCCACGTGATAATTAACAGGGCAAAAGTCACAACACTAACCACCTCAGTCGTTGATAACGCACAGCCTTGACAACGACTTTTCACATTTACCTAGTACCCGATGTCTAACCTCAGCATTACTCAGTCGGTCGCCTCACAAAAGGTGAGAAATTCTGTAAAGACACCTATGATAACGTAAGAAATAGTTAGAAAACGATTTTTAAGGAGCTGTGGAAAGCAGCCCAACACCAGAACAGAGTAGTCTAGTTTAGTAGTTCCAGCTTTCTATTTTTATTTAACAAAGATCGATACTCGCAATACAAAATTGCTTTCACTGATGTTTTAACATCGGAAATGGTATCGATGTTGATGAACTAGTAAAAAACACTATGACCCGCTAATGTACTTCCCGGGGAATATTTCTCTTAGATTCGATCTACATCAATATCTTACGAATTACTTAGAAAGAAAGTGGCAAATAAACATTACTAAAAAAGATAACACACTACTAAAGAATACATAGACATGGTAGTAATTATTCGCCTAAGCGTTACTTGCTACTTCATGTAAACTTTTGGAAACGACGTCCAGTTACTTTATCATAGCTGAAATCTTAAATGATCCAAGATTATTTTGAAATCAGTGGTACGTTGTATTGCATTGAAATTCTTTGACTTAATTTAATTTTTAGCTACGATTATTAATAATTTATGAACAGAAGAAAGAAATATATGACTCCTGATGCAATCGTTGGAAATCTATGCCCATTTCAGCACTAAATTAGGTACAATCTCATCAACAATAACAATATGCCCATATTCTATCATCAAGCTTTTTTTTACTTGGTTATAATCTAATATTTTTTATTAAAACCTAGGCAAGTTTGATGACTTCTTTAAATTATGTTATTATGACTCATTTATTAAATGACGCCTCATATATTTTTGACAAATCAAACATGACATACTGCAACAATGGCCAAGTAATAGGAACATACATGATCGTTGCTGCTAACTTGACGTGGCGGTCGAGCTTGCTTAACATGATGAACCAATCGAGCTAAAGTGATAGGGACAATTGTTCCAATAGAAGAAAACCCAAGGGTCCGAGGGTGAGATCGCACTGTTCACTGTACAGAAGTGTGATGGCAGTAAAGCGCTTCCCATAGAAAACGAGTATAACAAAGATGCCACCTTCCCTCAAGGAAGGGTAGGGTTAGAAAAGACCAAAACTAAAAGTGCACATCACGCCCGATAATGACTTATTCTGAACAATTTCACTTAACATCTTCAACCGTTGATTGCGGTTAATGCGCAGGCCCCTATTTGATAGTTCCAGTCAGCTACAACGTATGCATCGGTCCAAGTTGCCACACCTCATTAGCACAACAAGATGAACATCAAATTCATAAAAGTAGCTACTTCAATGGTAGTAAGGTATAAAAGAAAGATTGTGTATAAGGATATAGTGCAGGAAGAAAGGTACAAAGCAATTTTAATCTCACGGCTTAGGGGAAGACAGAGAGTGTATACACCGACGCCATTGTGATCGATTCTGAGCCATGTCACTAACAGTCTTCAACCATTGGATACGATAGTCACGCGGACTCTAACTAAGTAGTCTGCATCTACCAACATGGCTCAGACCAGAAGTTAGTGACTTCAAGGACTGATGCCACGTTTTGGTTTGGCCACCCCTAACTTTCTTCCAATCGTCTCCAACATCAGTCAGCATTGCGCATTGTGGTAATCGGTGTTCAGGCATATGCAACACTTGGCCCAACCATCTCAGTCGATGAAGATTCACAACCTCATCAACTGATTTACCATCATTCCTTAATACCTTGCGTCTAACCTCACTATTACCTACCCGGTGATCCCAGTAGATGCGAGCAATATTTCCAAAACATCTGTGATCAAGTACTAGTAACTTATAAGTATCTTCTACTCCTAATGGCCACGTTTCGCAGCCGTAAAGTAAGACAGAACGAACTGTCGCACAGTATACTCGTCCCTTAATTGATAGAAAGATATCTCGTCTTCGCCACAGGTGACGTAAGTTGGCAAAAGCCAAACGAACTTTATGAATCCGTGCTGAGATTCCGTCATACACCAACCCATTAGGGTTGATCAGACTTCCAAGATATGTGAAGTTGTCGACGTATTCGACTACTTCACTCCCTATCCTTAGTTCAGATATTGATGCAGGCCAGTCCTGGAGCAACAACTTGGATTTAGAGGGAGAGAAATGCAACCCAAACATCCTGGAATTGTTTCTCAATGCTACCAAAAGACTCTGCATTTTATCCGCATCTTCACCAAACAGGACTATATCATCTGCGTATTCTAAGTCGATAAGTGGACCTCCTGGTAGACCAATTCCTGAAGGTTATTCCAGCAGTATGTCTACAATGAAATTAAACAGGAATAGTGATAGTGAACAGCCTTTCTGGACACCACTTGAGGTTGCGAAATCAGATGACAGTTAGCCATAAGCTCTGACTAGACTAGTAGATTTCGAGTAAAGAGCCTTCACGAGATTTACATACTCCAGCTAGAGTCGAGGGGCCTACTTCAATGTTCCATTCAGGTACCTCTAGAAGAACTCCACAGTGACTGCAACGGGGAAGTGAAAACCGCCCTCATACATCTAACAGCACTCAAGATCTCTGACTGAATAGGAGCATAACTTGAATCGAAAATGCTCAATTCCAGTTCCGTATGTTTATTTTTTCGTCCAATGGTTTCAAAACAGATATTAAAATCTTTTCACGCTACCAAATAAGTTAGTTTTGTTTATGAGAAATAACAAATTGGGAATGCAACTTGATAACTACATATACAAGTTTGTGTAACAACGCTGAGAGCTAACAACTTGGAAGAATCACGTGTACTGTTAGTTATTAAAAAGTTTATAATCAAGTGTTGGAATTATTAGGCTAAAATATATAATCATTAGTCAAGAAAGTGATATACATTATCAATAAAATCTCAATGTCAGCTCACCAAATTGATGATGAAACATACCGCCAGGATGTGGTGGTTGTGGTGATTGATAAGAGATTTCTTGATCCCAAGATGGATGAGAACCATGAGCTTGACTCGATGAAGCACCATACGCGCTACCTGTGGACGAAACTGGTATTGGATATGGTGGGACCTGTGTGAATGTTGATTGAGAAGGTCCATTATTGTCACAAACTGATGATTGGTTAGATGATAAAGATGACTGTGGCAATGTTGGGGGTGGAGGCATTGAACTGGTAGGTCCACTAGAAGATTGTGGTTGAAATTGTGCTCTATTAGGCATACAGTTAGATGGATGCATTGATGGAGAGCGTAAAGGATAAGCAGTTGGAGAAAAACCAGGTGAACGACCACTAGTTGAGTAAGGACTATTGGGAAGAGGAGCTTGGGGATGAGGATATGACGGATAAGTCATTCGTGGAATGCCACCGCCCAATTCCTGGTTTACCATTCCGTATGGGCGAGGTGATGGTACTGTGGCTTGATTGATTTGGTGTGATCCTTTAGACTGGCCTGCAATTAAAGTAAATATTATGATACAGGGGATACCATGTAAGTCTATGAAAATCAAACTGAATAGTTAATAAGCAAAACTGTAAGTATGTGCAACTAAAATATCATAAGAAATGATTGGATGGTGGAAAAAGTTGCTACTCATTAGATAAAATTATTCAGTCAGTCAGTCAGTAACAACGTAGAACTTCGTACGTACGTACATCAGTTCGAGTGGCCACACCACATTAGCACAGAGACAAATAAAATTATTAGTAAAAAGAAAAAAAAGAACCACTTAAATTAAAAAACTAAGAAATATAATATTCTTTTCGGTCATCACTGACGAGATCATAGTGGAAAAGAACACTCCATACAAGTACAAAAAGATGTTTAAATAGTTATACTTACCAGGACTTGGGCATGTAGCCGGTTGAACCTGAATATTTCCCATTTGTGATGAAACCATAGGGGAAGATGACGGTACAGAAGATTGTACAAAGGATGGATAACTTTGCGTGGGAGATGTTTCTCTTGATACTGCAGATATCGGACTGACAGATATGTTTGCAATGGAACTGGATGGTGTAGACACTTGAGGTTGTTGTGTTCCATCAATAATTGAATTTGGCACATGTGTCTCAACAGACGATATGGTGTTTTGACTATCAAGTTGATCTTTAGCACATGATGTTACACTTTTAGGATTCGATGATATTCCAGACTATAAAAAAGAATTTACGGTAAGTAGAACTGTGCTGTATGCATTAACTCAAGCGGATAGGAATTTCAATGTAAAGGCGATAATTGAACCCATATCAAAAGAATAAACCACTTCTAGAGTAAGCTCTAAAATAGCATAATTGTCTGACTTCTTCAGACAAAAAGCATTTGCGCTTCAAAAGTGAGTTACAACCATATATGTAATTCAACAGTTATGAATTTTTGACAGTACTACTGCTTTTTGAATAACCACGGGTCATTAAAAACTTCCCCTGGAGTCATTCTACGGATACTACCGATCACAAGCCTGGATAAACGAGGAGGGTTGGGCATGGGTCATCAACCCGATCGTGTAAAAGAGAACCCAACTAAAAAACGCTAACCAGAAGTCATTTTAACCATTTAAACTCTCCCCTGGGAATCGAAAGGTCTTTTTTAGAAGAGTTATGACACCTCATGGTGAAAGTCAACATTCCTTGGAAATCATGAGGCCTACTCCACTCCTGATAACCAGAGCGATAATTGATGTAGATACATGGAATGTCCAGACGGCGTAGGAGACCGGAAGGACAATTCAAATAGCTGCAGAACTCAAAGTAAAAGGAAAAAAGTTAAACCAAAGGACACGTTGCGCCGGGTATCGAAGGATTAATATTGGTCATAAAGTCGATAACCAGATGTTTGCACAAAAGAATTAACATTTCAGAAAATATAAACAATTGTATTGTTATTTGAAATTTATGGAATAACAGTGATATCAATAGAAAACAATGTATTCTATGGACATGATATACTTAGTCATAATAAACACACAATATTTTGGCATCAATAATCTTTTCCCACTGCAAAATCTCCGAAGTATTCATTCGCTTAGGAGCATGGGTGTTTACATTTTCAAAAATATGTTTTTATATATGACCGGATTGGCTATTGACCTAAGACAAACTAATAGACAAAACAGAAGAACCGCACAGAGTTAACAAGTGAAATAATGACTTGATTGCTTCCTCATAATTACTATAATTAAGACTAGACTTTAAAGAATAATTTAATAATTTGAGTTGCTACATTGGTAAACATAACAGAAGACGAAAATTCAGAAGATACTGGTACATCGTAACACGATCTACCTAATGGTGATTATGATTTAGACAAAACTTTACACGACCACAGTGTGTAATTATATGAGTTGATTTCAAGTACAATAACATTATCATTTCAGAATGTTTGTGGAGAACAACCTATGACAAATTTATCAAGTAGGAATAATTAAAGAGATGATGATGGATGAAATCTTTTGTAAATACACTTGTTTACCTCAAGAGCTATAGAGCTGATCTACCGTATATCAACTCCCAAATGAAAAAATATAATACACGTTAATTATACATTTAAAGTAACTACCTTGTTTCATGGTAAAATAACTATTTATATTTACTGGTTCAGTATCTCGGATACAATTAATTCATTACCTATGGCCGTATTAATGTTTTCCAATCTTAATATCTTACATCTTTAAGCAGTAAAATATTTTAAAATATTTGCAATAAGGTGTGGAATTTACTACATTTACTAGGGTTGCCATGATTTCATAAACATGTTACATTAAAATAAACAATGTATTATGAAATCATATTCTATCATAGTGTTTAATCGTTATGTCCTCATAGTAATGGATTTATGATTTCATAAGAATGTTAAGCGATATAAACTATAATCAATCATAATGGACCAGATACATTCACGCTTTACCTTTGTATACTTAGTTCTTGAGTTGTAAATTTATTTTATACTTCTTATTCCATGACTTGATATGTCCATATCGAATTATAAAATCGATGCGTAGTGTTTCCTGCTACCACTGAATACTACTTTGGGATTTACCTGAATAATCTTACCTCACTGCGTTAATACGGTGTGACAGTTCGAACTAATGCAAGCATGTTCCAAGTTCTACATTATGTATGCTATTATTTGTGTAGTCAACTCACTTAAAATCCGATACAACTGGGTAACAAATATAGAATGCGCCACACAATAAAATTTATTTATGACTGCCCTGCTTCGGTTTGGGCACCCGGGCAGTATCACAGCCTTCATACATATCGAATGAGATTTGTGTGGCGCATATGTATTTGGTGCCTCATTGTACCAATGTTTATGTGTTAAAATAAATATAAATAATTTATGACTGCCTGGTAGAAAGTAACCAATTTCGCCCTGATTAATAAGCTATTATCACAAGCCGAAAATTATGACCAGTAAGTTTGAATGGGAAGGTATTGTGATAAATTATGTTTGGATTTATATAGGCAAAAAGCTCTAGATTTAGAGAGATCAGTGCTGATCAAAATTAGTCAAAAAATTGGGACTTGGATCAATCGACACAGGTAAAAAGCATTAATACTAAGATGCCCAGTTAACAAACTACTTTTTATGAGGAAGTGCACTAACTGAACAAAATCTTCAGTATGGGGTTGTGGAGATTATTAGGTTTTTGACTGAGATCATGAACAAAATTTCTTCTAGATCAAACCAAAACAATTAAACTGAACATTGAAGAAAACTATCCAGCCCAACACTTTACAACAACTAATAATGCTTATATTTATGTTCATGATGACAGCTAAACTCTTCTTATGACCGATAATATTAACGAAGTGTTACTTAGACCAAACTATACCCAAAACATAACTTGGAATCTCACATTCAAGACTTTCTACATTTGCTGTAACAACTACAACTGCGGTAGAAAACTTGAAAACAGAAAAGTCAAGGACCCTATCCACGATATACTACCACACCGTATGTGCACACACGTGCGTAAAGATGAAACGATTTCAGTGCTTTAAAGGTAAGGCATGTTTGCTAAGAAATAATAACAATAACAATAAGAGGTCAGTTGTTGTCGTTACCATCAGTAGTAGCACTAGCCAATCAGAAAGCCAAACTCAAGGTCACCGAGTGGGTGACAAAGGCTAGAGAACGAGAGAGAGATAAACAGACAGGCAACAAGCAGATAGAGAGAAATCTATTTTAGGTTTAAGCTAGGCTTTGCTTATTGATCGATCAGAAACAAACCACTATATGTTCATCACGATGATGCGCCAAGCCATTTTTATAAAATGGATATTGGATGGTGAATAATAGTAATGAATTTGATCCTGCGAAGTAAAATAAACTTCAGGAAAAACAGTGAACTACGTGCACCAGTGACTGTAGTACTAATTAATAGTAGTAAAGACATTATATTAATGCAGACAGCAGATACAAAAATATTAATCTTATATACTTGGAATATAAAAATTGAGTGATCTCTACATGAAAAGCAGTAAATGTTATGGAGGAAAACGTTCAACATAGTAAACAATAAATAATGGATAGGACAATAAGTCAGTAGATTAGTTAACGCATTGTTAGTGAGCGCTTTTTTCTCTTTCCAAATTTATTTCCCTGAATTATGCTCCTTGAATAACATCTTCAAACCCCAGTTTTTCTGATTACAGCTTATAATTTTACTACATCTAGCACTACGGGATTTGAATCGAGCGCTGCATTTCTGTGCTAAGGTGGTGTGGCAACTCGAACTGATGTACGTACGTACGAAGTTCTACGTTGTTACTGACTGAGTGAGTGAGCGCATCTACATACATAAGGCGAGAAAAACAGAATATAAGTTGATCAATCGGAGGCTAAGATGTGGCATCGGTTCATGAAGTCAGTGACTGACCTGCATCAATATCTGAACTAAGGATAGGGAGTGAAGTAGTCGAATACGTCGACAACTTCACATATCTTGGAAGTCTGATCAACCCTAATGGGTTGGTGTATGACGGAATCTCAGCACGGATTCATAAAGTTCGTTTGGCTTTTGCCAACTTACGTCACCTGTGGCGAAGACGAGATATCTTTCTATCAATTAAGGGACGAGTATACTGTGCGACAGTTCGTTCTGTCTTACTTTACGGCTGCGAAACGTGGCCATTAGGAGTAGAAGATACTTATAAGTTACTAGTACTTGATCACAGATGTTTTGGAAATATTGCTCGCATCTACTGGGATCACCGGGTAGGTAATAGTGAGGTTAGACGCAAGGTATTAAGGAATGATGGTAAATCAGTTGATGAGGTTGTGAATCTTCATCGACTGAGATGGTTGGGCCAAGTGTTGCATATGCCTGAACACCGATTACCACAATGCGCAATGCTGACTGATGTTGGAGACGATTGGAAGAAAGTTAGGGGTGGCCAAACCAAAACGTGGCATCAGTCCTTGAAGTCACTAACTTCTGGTCTGAGCCATGTTGGTAGATGCAGACTACTTAGTTAGAGTCCGCGTGACTATCGTATCCAATGGTTGAAGACTGTTAGTGACATGGCTCAGAATCGATCACAATGGCGTCGGTGTATACACTCTCTGTCTTCCCCTAAGCCGTGAGATTAAAATTGCTTTGTACCTTTCTTCCTGCACTATATCCTTATACACAATCTTTCTTTTATACCTTACTACCATTGAAGTAGCTACTTTTATGAATTTGATGTTCATCTTGTTGTGCTAATGAGGTGTGGCAACTTGGACCGATGCATACGTTGTAGCTGACTGGAACTATCAAATAGGGGCCTGCGCATTAACCGCAATCAACGGTTGAAGATGTTAAGTGAAATTGTTCAGAATAGGTCATTATAGGGTAAGTGTATTTACTCATTATCGTCCTCTGCACTTCGAATTCTGATAAGGATTTTTACACAAGTTTTTGTTTTGTCTTCTGGTACCATATTCCAAAAATATTTGTTGTCAACATTTCTAGTACACTATATTGATCCCTTTGCCATTTATCTTTTTAAATTCATCTCATCCCGCTACTTCGGTAATGGTAACCTAAGCTAACGAATACCTCTGTGACAAACTGGACACTGATTATGAATAACTAGTTATCTATACCACTTATTATCGGAAGATTAACTATCAAAATGGAAAATATCACACTGGATACGTTAGGTGACATGACTCACCGTACTTTACATACATTTACATTCGACAGACCCTGAGTTTTCATATTACTTGTATTGTTTATGTGGCGAATTTATTCTCTATTGAAATATATTTTCTGACTAATCCATTTTACTATCGCTAATACTACCACTACTACCTCTCGTTAATAGTTCTGTGCTGATTTTTGTGAAAACTTGAGACGATGAACAATTGTACCACGTCCCTACGCTGATTATGGTTGACAAACTAAATATCAAGTTGTTGACAGGGTCATTCATTTTTATTAGGATCGATAACAAACTATAAAGGCTTTTCATGATAGTGATACTTATTCTCACCTACCACTTCTTTCTCAGTAAAAGTATAAATAAGTTACAATAACTTTTTATATTATCACTGAAGCTTGGATTTAAAATTACTAACTGAATCAAAATACTTATTAATAGTATTAAACCTCGTCAACCAGTTTTGAAGCTATATATCAGAAGAAAAGAGGTACCCGTTAATCATGGAACAAAGACCCAAAACTAAAAATAATAATGAATCAATTTTCAGCCATGGTGTTTAGATTGTTTAGTCTTAAATTAGATCTTTGAGAAAAGGTATTGAAACACTATAAAATTATGATAAATTAACCACGAAACCAACTCACTTCACTTATTCTTGACTGAGGACGACACCCTGTATCTTCGAAGGTATTAGGTGTGCCCTCATTTTGACTGTTAGGTCTTGCAGAACTATTATTGTTAGTGTTGGGAGATTCAGAAGACCCATCATTTATTTTAAGTTGATAATCTCTTGATAAACTACGAGGTCTTGGTTGAGACTGAACATGCTGTGGAGATCCGAAAGTAGCAGTATGTGGTGACCAGGATGACATTTGAGACCCACTAGAGTAAACTGGGGAGGAAATCTGTGTGTTCTGGAATGCCGCATGTGATGAACTATTGATATAGTTGATATTTCTTGACGGTGGACGCTCAATTTGATTTGTAGCACCTCCTCCTCCAGGTGGTGTAGGTTGGGGTGGTCTTGACTGGTTGCAAGAGTTTACGGTTGGATATTCCAAGTTAGGGGGTTGAGGTGCGCGAACCCTTTGTACTAAAGGCTGCGAATGTGGGTAATATGGATAATTTGGACCAGGTGGGTATGGAAGATACGATCGAGTATATGGATCTGAGAACCGTTGAGCTCCGGAATAGGAATATGTGTTTGCCTGAAAAGTTGAAAAAACATAAATTTACGAAGGCTTAACAACAACATAAAAATTAGTTAGACTTTATATGGCGACTACCTAACATCCAATGACGTTAAAAACACTTAGGAATATATGTCTTTCAAATGCTGAGACTGAAGTATTCGTAGAATGGTTTGGACCAAAGTTTTCATGGTTGATGATTGAGTGTCTAGTCTAAAAAGCCAGTTAATAATATGGATCTATGTTAACACTTAATAGTTCACCCTTTTCTAGATTTATATATGAATATGTTATTTCAAAATAAACCACGATATTATTTAGAATAAAGTGTAAAGATGCGACACAAAGACTCTAACGATAACTTAGCAAGTAGACTTGAATTTTCATCACTAAATTTTGATTACATAAATAAAGGCTAAAAGAAATACAACGTTCCTAAAGACTGATAAACTCCTATGCAAAAAACCATATACAGTACATTTTTTCACACAAAATCAGTGTAAAGTAGTAGCCGTTAGTCAGTCATAATCAACTTAAGACCGAAGTCGCCGTACCACATTACCACAAAGAGACGAAATTAATAGGTTGTGAGAGCATAAAATTCAGATCAGTCAACAAGTGTTTAGTGAACAGACATACCAATTAACCAAGTCGATCATAGTAACCAAATAATTCTCGTATCTAATTCCATCAACATATGTTATTTATCTTAAGTTATCATCCTTATCTCCAACAATTGTAATGAACAGAAGAATTAAATTGTACAGAGTCAAGCATAGGGTAAACTTAGGTAGAAAAAACAGTACAAATATGTAGGCAGCAAGATCCAACCTAAGACCTCGAGGAGCTGCTGGATAGAACGAGCAAACTTCCTAAATAATTTGGGCGGTTGGCGGAGATTGGACTAATTCAGCACTCCTTATGGTGAATTTGGATTGCTTGGAGTTCACTCTTTGAGGCTTTAAAAATCATGATGGACTGCCCAACATGTATGCCTATGTATATGAATTGCATGAGTCTCGATTTGTGTAGTTGTGTATGTGGGTATACCCAAAGGGCACGCACCAAGCCCGTAAAAGGAACATAAGATGAAATAATGTCTGTCCTACGCCTGATAAAGTCAGCAGCCTAAACCATTAGGTCGAAGACGTAATAAAAAGATATGGTAGCAGATACTAGGTAGAGGTGAACATCAACCCTTATGTTTATATGTATGTCATGAAAGCGCATAAACGAAAGTCTTTGTACCAGCGGCATGATTGTAATGCATAAAAGACAATCAGTTGTAGCAAACACATTCGAAGGGAGCAATGACCATCCACCCTCCTAGGTTGGTGAATATACCTATATGTACGATATGGAATGCATGATTGAAAACTTATGTGTTACCAGTATACATGTGGGCCATACGTACCCCTGGCGCGAAGCATTTACGCCAAGACTCGGGGTTCCAAAGGTTCCTCCACGAAATTATATCCACGCGGTAGGTTCGTGAGCTTAGGAAAGCGGGTTTTAATCAAGATAAGCCTTTGGGTTTTACCGAAAGAGGCTTCACCAATATTTAAAAGGCTGGCATACTACACCAATATGTAAATGAAGATAAATGATAGAAAAATAATGTGACCGGGCAACCCTGTGTAAATCCATGTACAAGACTATGAACAATGTTGTGTGAAAGCCAGTGATGCATTATCCCTCAAATCTAGACAGGTCTGATGGGATTCTAATTTGTGCAATTTACTAAAAGGTAAGTTAATAAACCAATAAGAGGCGGCTCTATACATACATACATGCATTTTTACTATTATTGTTCAGTGACATGTGTCAATACAGAAAATTCAGACAATAATTCTATCACTCAATATACAGAAAAATGTATAGCAAATAACTAACATTAAAGTTGGTGTAGTGAATCTACAACATGTGATCGATTAAAAACATGGTATGTATGTATGATTCATGGATGACACTAACTCTAATTAAGTAAATATTGACAGTTACATTGGGTAAAATATTTCATTTAGCAATGCTGAATATAGATAGTAGAGTAACAAAATCACTGTAAATGTAAACTGATAGATAATACAGCATTAACAAAAGAAACACTAAAAATGAACTATTATTAATGAATTTACACACAATGATTTATTTAATAAGATAGTTTTTAAAGTATATAAGTACGACAATTCCTATAGCTGATAAATGTAGTTGAGTTTGTAGTAAATTTGACTTCGATTACTTATCTACACTCCGTAAATACACGAGTCATGAGTACATCATTATCAAATGAAGCAAAGAATGCATTTATCATACTCATATACATTAACCACTTTGAAACAAATTATACGGATCTTCTGTAGGTGATAAACATGATGTTCAGTGAAAATACTAGTTCAGGAATCCTAAGAAATCTTGCTATCAGTCAACAATAAGAATCCAGACAGGAATATAAATATAAGATAAAAATAAATTGCTTCAAGTTGTCATAATTCTCAACAGTATAAAAAGAGAAAATTAACGAATATATTGAAGTAATCGACACTGACAAATTTACTAGTTAAGTGGTTAGACTGGAAAAAGTGGCGACACATTAAATCAAACGGTTTTAGAACAACCTGGCCCTGCTACTTATGTATATCCGGAGCATTCGAATTAAAATATGACATTTCATATCACAAAATACAATACAGAGAACTGAGTATGGTAGAAAGAATATTAACAATGTTCGTAACAAAAGTTACAATATGAAAGGCGAATATGATGGAATGGAAGTGTAACTAAGACACTAGTTAGAGATGAAAGTAAATATGAATCCGAGTACCGGAATTAATCATTAGTAAAAGAATAATGACTTGTAGTCATTGAAGACTACCTTTGAGAGAGTATTTAAGGAAACACTGAAGGGATTATAATCAGCCCTGTGCACCCAATCTTTATAACTCGGTCCCATGTTATAAAATGATTACCTCTCAGACTTTCTCATCCAATCCCAATGCCTGAAAATAATTCACGATGTAGAAGTCACTGGAATAATATTCACAAAACAATCCCGTGCTAACACTCAGTGTTTTAAGATGGTAATACCAGTTCAATTTAATGTTTATAACCTTGTTCAAAAATACTCATCCTACTTAGAACAATGTAACCCATAGCTCCATACCCGATATAAATGGTTGGGACATTTGTTACATATGCTCAACCACCGCCTATCTCTACGGGTGAAGTTTTCTGGTGTACGAGTAGGTTGGAAGAAAACTACGGGCGGCAAAACAAAACACATACAAACAGTCCACAAAGTCATTGATAATTCGACTGAAACATTTCAATACGTCTACACTATCTGGTTGGGATACACGTGATTATCGTAACCAGTGGTTCGACACTTTCAATCACATGGCTCAAAATCGCTTGCAATGGCTCAGGTGAATCTATTCTGTCTTCTCACAAATTCTCAGCTTCTCAATTTCTTACAACCTTTCTCATCTTTCCATTTCACTCATTTGTATTTTCCTCTTCAATCATATATTCGATGCCTAATCTTTCCTATCACCAATCATACTGTTGCTACATCTACAATTATCGGATTTCACCTGACAACATCTCTCTGTACAAATGGGGTATGGCAACTTGAACTAATGTACATAAGTACAGGTTCTATGTTGTGACTGATTGGTCCGACAGAAATTGACATAGCAAGAATGAAATCTAACAAATGCGAAATAGTTTTAGGAGGAAAAATTAAGTTTCTTTTTTACGAGACCAATGACTGAATCTCATTGGAAGTATTTAGGATTCAATTTTCTTCTCCTGGAATGTAAAGACAACTGAGATTTTAAACTAATCAAATCACTAAAGCGGTCATCATAGTAATACTCAACGAGTTGTACGTAACAGTAAACGTTTAGCAGAATATAGTAAAAGACACTTAATTTTACCAACTTCACAAACCAGTGGAGATTAATAAAGTACTCTAATATACTTCAAGTGGTAGATAAGAGAAGTATTTGCAATAGCCACTATCTACTTATTCCACTAGGTACTATTAAATATTCATTGTGCATAAATTACTGGTATATACACAGTAATTCATGTAAAGCACTCGCTTACCAGCAGTTTTTCATGCAAGATGAGTGTTTTATGAATGCTATCAGTAATACTACAGAGATCTGTCAAGCACGGTCTGATTCACACGATTCTATCTACGTAGTTACGAACTTAAAATTAGTTGGTTATCGACCAGATTTCTCAAATATGGTAAACACTTTCTACTATCAAAGCTTTAAGTACTTTACATGTTTTGTAGATCGAATGATTTATGTGGCGCATATATAGTTGGTGCATCCTAGTATCAATGTTTATGTGTTTAAGTAAATAAATAATACGATTTGTATAAGTCTGATTCTAAGCCTATATCGGTGGTGAGACATAAAAAGACTACGCACTGGATAATTATGTCAGATTATATCAATCTTTATTTACCGAAAATCAGAGCAGGCTACATCAACTCACATTAATTTCATGCAATAACAATTATACTTTATTTGTACAAGGTGGATATTCAACGAGTAATGATAGACGCCAGCGATTATCTCCCACACCTGCAAAGCCTTTTTTATGTTGAAAATGTTTGATAACTCTGTGTCCGACTACCAATCTATTTGGAAACAACACCGTGAAATTAAGGATAAAGTTTGGTAAATAGTGTTTAGATTAAGTCAAGACCAAAGTCTCTGGTTGGAAAAATAGGCCGTCGTGTCATGGACAATTTTAAGGCCTGATAACCTAACAGCTAATAAAATGATCATTGATTGTTTAAATAGGCGTTCATCAAATATAATCTAATTAGCAAGTTAGTGTAAATACTCATCGAAGCCGAACATTTAGAAAAATTCATACTACTGATGCTGACTGATGAAACTGAGATTGTACGTCGTCTAAACTGTGATATTTAGTCCTCGAAGCAAATAACAGTTAATAATATGATTATTCAATCTATTTAATAGTTGCAAATCAATTTA